CAGTAGAGCTGGTGCGCGAGGCGGTTGCGACGCTCGAGGCGGCTGCGGCTGATGTACGGCGAGGGCTGCTTGTGGTGCGCAGTAGAGTCCAGTAGCGTGCAGTAGAGCGGTCAGTAGAGCTGGTGCGCGAGGCGGTTGCGGCGCTCGAGGCGGCTGCGGCTGATGTACGGCGAGGGCTGCTTGTGGTGCGCAGTAGAGTCCAGTAGCGTGCAGTAGAGCGGTCAGTAGAGCTGGTGCGCGAGGCGGTTGCGGCGCTCGAGGCGGCTGCGGCTGATGTACGGCGAGGGCTGCTTGTGGTGCGCAGTAGAGTCCAGTAGCGTGCAGTAGAGCGGTCAGTAGAGCTGGTGCGCGAGGCGGTTGCGGCGCTCGAGGCGGCTGCGGCTGATGTACGGCGAGGGCTGCTTGTGATGCGCAGTAGAGTCCAGTAGCGTGCAGTAGAGCGGTCAGTAGAGCTGGTGCGCGAGGCGGTTGCGGCGCTCGAGGCGGCTGCGGCTGATGTACGGCGAGGGATGCTTGTGGTGCGCAGTAGAGTCCAGTAGCGTGCAGTAGAGCGGTCAGTAGAGCTGGTGCGCGAGGCGGTTGCGGCGCTCGAGGCGGCTGCGGCTGATGTACGGCGAGGGCTGCTTGTGGTGCGCAGTAGAGTCCAGTAGCGTGCAGTAGAGCGGTCAGTAGAGCTGGTGCGCGAGGCGGTTGCGACGCTCGAGGCGGCTGCGGCTGATGTACGGCGAGGGCTGCTTGTGGTGCGCAGTAGAGTCCAGTAGCGTGCAGTAGAGCGGTCAGTAGAGCTGGTGCGCGAGGCGGTTGCGGCGCTCGAGGCGGCTGCGGCTGATGTACGGCGAGGGCTGCTTGTGGTGCGCAGTAGAGTCCAGTAGCGTGCAGTAGAGCGGTCAGTAGAGCTGGTGCGCGAGGCGGTTGCGGCGCTCGAGGCGGCTGCGGCTGATGTACGGCGAGGGCTGCTTGTGGTGCGCAGTAGAGTCCAGTAGCGTGCAGTAGAGCGGTCAGTAGAGCTGGTGCGCGAGGCGGTTGCGGCGCTCGAGGCGGCTGCGGCTGATGTACGGCGAGGGCTGCTTGTGGTGCGCAGTAGAGTCCAGTAGCGTGCAGTAGAGCGGTCAGTAGAGCTGGTGCGCGAGGCGGTTGCGGCGCTCGAGGCGGCTGCGGCTGATGTACGGCGAGGGCTGCTTGTGGTGCGCAGTAGAGTCCAGTAGCGTGCAGTAGAGCGGTCAGTAGAGCTGGTGCGCGAGGCGGTTGCGGCGCTCGAGGCGGCTGCGGCTGATGTACGGCGAGGGCTGCTTGTGGTGCGCAGTAGAGTCTAGTAGCGTGCAGTAGAGCAGTCAGTAGAGCTGGTGCGCGAGGCGGTTGCGGCGCTCGAGGCGGCTGCGGCTGATGTACGGCGAGGGCTGCTTGTGGTGCGCAGTAGAGTCCAGTAGCGTGCAGTAGAGCGGTCAGTAGAGCGATCAGTAGAGCTGGTGCGCGAGGCGGTTGCGGCGCTCGAAGCGGCTGCGGCTGATGTACGGCGAGGGCTGCTTGTGGTGCGCAGTAGAGTCCAGTAGCGTGCAGTAGAGCGGTCAGTAGAGCGGTCAGTAGAGCTGGTGCGCGAGGCGGTTGCGGCGCTCGAGGCCGCTGCGGCTGATGTACGGCGAGGGCTGCTTGTGGTGCGCAGTAGAGTCCAGTAGCGTGCAGTAGAGCGGTCAGTAGAGCGGTCAGTAGAGCTGGTGCGCGAGGCGGTTGCGGCGCTCGAGGCCGCTGCGGCTGATGTACGGCGAGGGCTGCTTGTGGTGCGCAGTAGAGTCCAGTAGCGTGCAGTAGAGCGGTCAGTAGAGCGGTCAGTAGAGCTGGTGCGCGAGGCGGTTGCGGCGCTCGAGGCGGCTGCGGCTGATGTACGGCGAGGGCTGCTTGTGGTGCGCAGTAGAGTCCAGTAGCGTGCAGTAGAGCGGTCAGTAGAGCGGTCAGTAGAGCTGGTGCGCGAGGCGGTTGCGGCGCTCGAGGCCGCTGCGGCTGATGTACGGCGAGGGCTGCTTGTGGTGCGCAGTAGAGTCCAGTAGCGTGCAGTAGAGCGGTCAGTAGAGCTGGTGCGCGAGGCGGTTGCGGCGCTCGAGGCGGCTGCGGCTGATGTACGGCGAGGGCTGCTTGTGGTGCGCAGTAGAGTCCAGTAGCGTGCAGTAGAGCGGTCAGTAGAGCTGGTGCGCGAGGCGGTTGCGGCGCTCGAGGCGGCTGCGGCTGATGTACGGCGAGGGCTGCTTGTGGTGCGCAGTAGAGTCTAGTAGCGTGCAGTAGAGCAGTCAGTAGAGCTGGTGCGCGAGGCGGTTGCGGCGCTCGAGGCGGCTGCGGCTGATGTACGGCGAGGGCTGCTTGTGGTGCGCAGTAGAGTCCAGTAGCGTGCAGTAGAGCGGTCAGTAGAGCGATCAGTAGAGCTGGTGCGCGAGGCGGTTGCGGCGCTCGAAGCGGCTGCGGCTGATGTACGGCGAGGGCTGCTTGTGGTGCGCAGTAGAGTCCAGTAGCGTGCAGTAGAGCGGTCAGTAGAGCGGTCAGTAGAGCTGGTGCGCGAGGCGGTTGCGGCGCTCGAGGCCGCTGCGGCTGATGTACGGCGAGGGCTGCTTGTGGTGCGCAGTAGAGTCCAGTAGCGTGCAGTAGAGCGGTCAGTAGAGCGGTCAGTAGAGCTGGTGCGCGAGGCGGTTGCGGCGCTCGAGGCCGCTGCGGCTGATGTACGGCGAGGGCTGCTTGTGGTGCGCAGTAGAGTCCAGTAGCGTGCAGTAGAGCGGTCAGTAGAGCGGTCAGTAGAGCTGGTGCGCGAGGCGGTTGCGGCGCTCGAGGCGGCTGCGGCTGATGTACGGCGAGGGCTGCTTGTGGTGCGCAGTAGAGTCCAGTAGCGTGCAGTAGAGCGGTCAGTAGAGCGGTCAGTAGAGCTGGTGCGCGAGGCGGTTGCGGCGCTCGAGGCCGCTGCGGCTGATGTACGGCGAGGGCTGCTTGTGGTGCGCAGTAGAGTCCAGTAGCGTGCAGTAGAGCGGTCAGTAGAGCTGGTGCGCGAGGCGGTTGCGGCGCTCGAGGCGGCTGCGGCTGATGTACGGCGAGGGCTGCTTGTGGTGCGCAGTAGAGTCCAGTAGCGTGCAGTAGAGCGGTCAGTAGAGCTGGTGCGCGAGGCGGTTGCGGCGCTCGAGGCGGCTGCGGCTGATGTACGGCGAGGGCTGCTTGTGGTGCGCAGTAGAGTCCAGTAGCGTGCAGTAGAGCGGTCAGTAGAGCTGGTGCGCGAGGCGGTTGCGGCGCTCGAGGCGGCTGCGGCTGATGTACGGCGAGGGCTGCTTGTGGTGCGCAGTAGAGTCCAGTAGCGTGCAGTAGAGCGGTCAGTAGAGCTGGTGCGCGAGGCGGTTGCGGCGCTCGAGGCGGCTGCGGCTGATGTACGGCGAGGGCTGCTTGTGGTGCGCAGTAGAGTCCAGTAGCGTGCAGTAGAGCGGTCAGTAGAGCTGGTGCGCGAGGCGGTTGCGGCGCTCGAGGCGGCTGCGGCTGATGTACGGCGAGGGCTGCTTGTGGTGCGCAGTAGAGTCCAGTAGCGTGCAGTAGAGCGGTCAGTAGAGCTGGTGCGCGAGGCGGTTGCGGCGCTCGAGGCGGCTGCGGCTGATGTACGGCGAGGGCTGCTTGTGGTGCGCAGTAGAGTCCAGTAGCGTGCAGTAGAGCGGTCAGTAGAGCGGTCAGTAGAGCTGGTGCGCGAGGCGGTTGCGGCGCTCGAGGCGGCTGCGGCTGATGTACGGCGAGGGCTGCTTGTGGTGCGCAGTAGAGTCCAGTAGCGTGCAGTAGAGCGGTCAGTAGAGCGGTCAGTAGAGCTGGTGCGCGAGGCGGTTGCGGCGCTCGAGGCGGCTGCGGCTGATGTACGGCGAGGGCTGCTTGTGGTGCGCAGTAGAGTCCAGTAGCGTGCAGTAGAGCGGTCAGTAGAGCTGGTGCGCGAGGCGGTTGCGGCGCTCGAGGCGGCTGCGGCTGATGTACGGCGAGGGCTGCTTGTGGTGCGCAGTAGAGTCCAGTAGCGTGCAGTAGAGCGGTCAGTAGAGCTGGTGCGCGAGGCGGTTGCGGCGCTCGAGGCGGCTGCGGCTGATGTACGGCGAGGGCTGCTTGTGGTGCGCAGTAGAGTCCAGTAGCGTGCAGTAGAGCGGTCAGTAGAGCGGTCAGTAGAGCTGGTGCGCGAGGCGGTTGCGGCGCTCGAGGCGGCTGCGGCTGATGTACGGCGAGGGCTGCTTGTGGTGCGCAGTAGAGTCCAGTAGCGTGCAGTAGAGCGGTCAGTAGAGCGGTCAGTAGAGCTGGTGCGCGAGGCGGTTGCGGCGCTCGAGGCGGCTGCGGCTGATGTACGGCGAGGGCTGCTTGTGGTGCGCAGTAGAGTCCAGTAGCGTGCAGTAGAGCGGTCAGTAGAGCGGTCAGTAGAGCTGGTGCGCGAGGCGGTTGCGGCGCTCGAGGCGGCTGCGGCTGATGTACGGCGAGGGCTGCTTGTGGTGCGCAGTAGAGTCCAGTAGCGTGCAGTAGAGCGGTCAGTAGAGCGGTCAGTAGAGCTGGTGCGCGAGGCGGTTGCGGCGCTCGAGGCGGCTGCGGCTGATGTACGGCGAGGGCTGCTTGTGGTGCGCAGTAGAGTCCAGTAGCGTGCAGTAGAGCGGTCAGTAGAGCGGTCAGTAGAGCTGGTGCGCGAGGCGGTTGCGGCGCTCGAGGCGGCTGCGGCTGATGTACGGCGAGGGCTGCTTGTGGTGCGCAGTAGAGTCCAGTAGCGTGCAGTAGAGCGGTCAGTAGAGCTGGTGCGCGAGGCGGTTGCGGCGCTCGAGGCGGCTGCGGCTGATGTACGGCGAGGGCTGCTTGTGGTGCGCAGTAGAGTCCAGTAGCGTGCAGTAGAGCGGTCAGTAGAGCGGTCAGTAGAGCTGGTGCGCGAGGCGGTTGCGGCGCTCGAGGCGGCTGCGGCTGATGTACGGCGAGGGCTGCTTGTGGTGCGCAGTAGAGTCCAGTAGCGTGCAGTAGAGCGGTCAGTAGAGCGGTCAGTAGAGCTGGTGCGCGAGGCGGTTGCGGCGCTCGAGGCGGCTGCGGCTGATGTACGGCGAGGGCTGCTTGTGGTGCACGGTGCGCACGTGCAACTTGCGACTGTTGGACTGCGCGAACGCCTTACCGCATACTTCGCACTCGTACGGTTTCACTCCAGTGTGGCTCTGCAAATAAAAACAAATCGATTAGTGAATTTGTCACAATTATCGGTCTCTAAACCAGTTAGGAAAGCAAGTTAAGAAGTGCAAGTTAAGAAATTTAACCTTTGCAGCATTATTGAAACATAGTGTGAGTGCCTTCGTTCGGGGAAGAACCAGGCTTTCAAAGAATACCAGCATAAAATAGCAGCTAAACACTGCTGTTACGTATGGTGAGTGTAGAGAACCGGAATCCGTCACAGCCACGGAGCAAATACAAAGAGGAGACGGCCTAGGCAACTGTGCACTGTGATTCTAACTAGGTCCTGACGTCGTCACAGTGGGCGTGGCTTTAGTTAGTATATTGTCAGCGTTCGTCTTGTGCACTTATGTGTCAAAAATCGTAAATCGGTGTATTTTCGTAGTATTAAGAAGAAAAGGATGAAGTGTTGTGTTTTATCGTGTAAAAACTACTCAGATAAACGCTCTGATGCTATGGATGGCATCATATTTCATTTGTAAGTAATTTTATACCTAATTTATTAAAATAGTTCTAGAAAAATCTCTGCGTCGGTTTTTAAATATAATTAAATATATTCGACACTAGATGGCGACACTCTGTGTCATGGGAACTAAAAATATAAAAGTACGTCGCGCTCAGTATTGGTAAAATAATCATACGAAGGTGCTGAAATTTGTTTTGCAATCAGTCCTAAAGAATTTTTAACGTCGAAATATTATTTTTATACTTTTTATAATCATTTTGTGAATAGGCCGCCATCTATTGTCAAGGTAGCTAAACTACATTGTAATATCAATATGGAACGATGCGAGTAGTTTTACTATTTATCGGTAGATGGAAAATAGTGAAGTGGACGAGGCTTAACACCCCCTCATCCCGCAAATTGTCACGCGTTGTTACATTGTGAAATCAAATTACAATACCTCCTCTTTGTATTTGCTCCGTGGTCACAGAGACCACTTACCATCAGGTGGACTGTATGCTCGTCTGTCACCCTATTCTATAAAAAAGAGCGAAGGCAGGAGTGCAGTTTGAACGTAATATACGTACAGTGTGAGTTAAGAGGAGTACAGGGCGAGTGCAGTGTGCAGTGCGCTTTAAACACTGTAGTGCAGAATAAGTGTAGGGGGTCTGACGTACTTGCGTGTAAGTACAGGGCGAATGCACTTTAAATATAGTAGTGCAGTATGAGTGCAGTTTCTTTTGCAGTGCTAGTGTAGAGTGAGTGCAGGGAATGTGAGATACTGGCGTGTAAGTACAGAGCAAGTGCACTTTGAGTACAGTAGTGCAGTGCTAGTGCAGAGTAAGTGCAGGGGGTGTTACTGGCGCATAAGTACAAGGCGAGTTCACTTTGAGTACAGTAGTGTAGATGAGTGCAGGTGGAATGAGGTATGAGGTATTGGCGTGAAAGTACAGAGTAAGTGCAGGGGGTGTGAGATATTGGCGTGTAAGTACAGGGCAAGTGCACTTTGAGAATAGTAGTGCAGTATGAGTGCAGTGTTAATGCATTGGGTGTGAGGTACTGGTGTGTAAGTACAGAGCGAGTGCAGTGAGTGTAAAGTACTAACTCGCGAGTGCCGCTCGAGCGCGCCCTTGCACTTGAAGGCCTTGCAGCAGACCGGGCAGGGGTGCGGCCGCACATCGGAGTGCGTGCGTTCGTGCATTTGCAGGTTGGTGCGGTTGAAGAACGCTTTCGGACACAGGGCGCACTTGTATGCACGCTCCTCGGAGTGTGTTCGTTTGTGATACACTAAAAACGCATTGCCCTGCAATAAAACACAACTTATTAAATAATAAATGAAACTTTTGTTATTTGAAACATGCGTTAGCTTATAATGGATAAAAATAACAAAATTAAACAAATTAAATATGTATAATGATAGCAAGCTGTTACCCGAAAACTCTTGCCGCAAATATCACAGATGTAATTCTTCTGAATAGGATAGTTTTTATCAGGATGTACGCGTCGAAAGTGAGTCCAATAGTCTCGTGCATTCGCTATCTTCTCAGAACACTGCAATTTGAATCAAGGTTGAGAACAAGGTTGATAAGTATTTGGTATAGAAGCTTATTTAAAGGTATGCCGGAAGAATTACATTTAAAAAGTTTAGAAAAACATTAAAATAATATCGAAAAATGTGCCTAAATTTCACTATAAGAATAGCCACACTATAGACTGAAAAATGATTGGTTGTCTTTCCACTTACGTATGATGCTTTGAAAACCTACGTAAAGTTGGCTTCGAAAATCTGTAAAGACAATTCCAATTTATCAAGACTATTGGGACAGCGGCGAAAAAGCTATTGATTCCATTTTGCTAAAGAAAATTAATGGGCTCCGATATATGCAGGTATAGCCATTACAAATATTCCAGACGTAAAATAGCAACGCGAAAGGTGCGAAGCGACTGCGATCACCATCGGCCTGCCAACCGCACCAATCCTATAATGTGGAATGCTCGTGTCCAGGCTACTGTCGTAATAATTACTGGACAATGTTGATGGCGAAGTATTTTGGATTAAAAATAGGATATGGTCCTCCGAGCCGGAACAACAACAACATTGAAAACTTCAAGTACATTTATTTTAATTAAATATTACAATCATCATCATTACAGCCTTTCACAAGTCCAATGCTGAACATAGGCCTCCCCCAAGGAATGCCACAAAGCACGGTCCTGAGCCACCTGCATCCATCGACTTCCTGCATGTCTTACTAGGTCGTCACTCCATCTCGTGGGGGGTCGCCCTACACTTAGATATTACAATACTCATATAAATTTACAAAAATCTCTATTTGTAATTTATATGCTAATAAATGTTTGCAAAGCACGATGCTATGCCGTGAACAAATTAAATAAAACTGTTACATTATTAATAGCATGCCTAAAACACTGATTATACTGACTATAGTACGGCTATGACAATGTATAAGTTTTTATAGGTCATGGATATGTTTAAACTTAGATAACTATGAAGTTTACTAAAAAGGGTAGAGTCTAAATCATAAATAAATCAATGTTAAGTTTTTCTTTCCGTTAAATGTAAAGTTATAGCTTTCATGCATACCACAGTTAGGCACAGGCCTCCTTTCATTTCTGAGAAGGTTATGGAGCAATTAGTTCGACAGACCAGTGTTGGCGGACTTTACATGTCCTTGAAATATTTTATTCCCTAGACATGCAGGTTGACTTACGATGTTTTCCTTTACCACCAGAATGTTATAATACGTTATATATTAATGATTGAAATATTCCAAATACTGCTATTATTATAATTCGCATAAATATATAGGTTAGTGTGAATAATGTACTCACATGTTCGCATTCTGTGGGCCAGGCGAGATTGGACGGCTTCTTGCCGTAGTTCTTGGGCCTTTTGCGCGCGTGTTCCGTTCTATGGTGCAGACGTAACTCTTCTGCATTACTGAATGTCTCACCGCAGACCCGGCATCCCGTACTGAGAACGGATTCATTCTCAATTTATTTTATAAAATTTGTTACTTAAGTCGATCTACTATTAGACCCACACTTTAGAGAGGTAAATATCTATTAAGTGTATTCCGACTCGTAAAGTATATTAGGAATATCAACTACTTTGTAGATTTCAAAGGGCCACGATGTTCTTTCAATATTTTGGCCCCAATTTGTGAAAATGTATTTGCACACCCTAAAAATTGTCTACTGCGTAACCTATATTTAGTTAACAATATAGTCTGAATAAAACAAGTATATAAATTCGTAGTTTTTATTTACTTTATTTACACAAAATTAATTGCTGTAATACAGTCAGTCTTAGCAATTGTTTAGTTTTTATATTAAATTTAATCAATAATTTGGTATCTTGCGTTACCAATATCCAAAAAAAAAACACGCAACTTTTCATTAAAACTGATTATGTAATAAGATAAACGCAAAAAACCTGTCCTTCAGATGCTGTTTTATCTACGGCTTAAAAAGATGCAAAAATATAGATTCTGACCTAAGCATGAAGATCATCACATTTAAAAAGGAAAATTTTAAATTAGGGACAAATAGTAACTTCAGAGACAAACTTGGTAACGCCCACGTCTAAGATATAAAATTAAGAAACTTAAAAAAATATATTTACTTTTAAATACAATGACTGAACTCTTTGAAGTAAGTAACAATCAAAACTTAATTTACAAATAAGTAACAAAATAACATCACATTTAGGAAAAATATTCTACTATTAATAATTAACTTCGTATCAGTCATATTTATAATCTTGAGATCAAATTTCAACAATAATTATTTTTCAAATATATCAATTAAATTAGCGAATTTGTACATATCTTCTTCCAGAAGACTTGACACCGACAAGATGCTATTGACATCGTTATAATTTATGTAGCCGGTATCCCTACCGTCTTGTCTGAACATCTTCGCATTATTATCAACTACCCGTAAAACATAACCTTAATTTCACCGTCTTCTTCCATAGAGTACAAAGCCTTGCAAGCGTAAGAATAAATATATTTTTAATCGCCTTCAAAAAAGATGAGGTACTCAACTCGACTGTATTATTTTTAATGCATGACCTCATAACTTTTTCTAGGTGAACCGATTTTGATGATTCTTTTATTATTTGAAAGCTGGTGCTTCTCAATTTTATATGGGACCACATCCCATATAAAATTGATCAAGGTCTGATCAGTAGTTTTTTAGTTATCCTCAATAATTTATATTGAAATCGGTGGTACAATACCTTTAATTTTACAAGTTGTTTTTTTGTTACTGCCATAAACATAAATATGTAAAAAATCACCAGTTGATGAATTTTGACCTGTCGAGGAATTTTGTCATAAATAGTGGAAGCAAGATGGGAAGGAGTAACAAATAGGAGAACCAAGTGGGTTCTCTGAAAACATTCTGAAAACGAAAGTCATCTACAGCCATCGATTTACGATTTTCCTTATCAATTTGTGACTCTTCGTCATCACTATCGGCTGAAGATATACTGATCTATACATAGGCTGCACTAAAAGTATCGGGAATGGAATATTTCCACTGTTCCTGTCATATTAAAATCTTTTTAATTGAAAACTCCTTGGTTTTAAAAATCGAATACCATTTATTTATTTAAAAAAACAGTCTGAGTCTTGTCACAAGGTTTTGTCAAACTTGTTTAGCCGTTGAGAAAATGGAACTGACTCGAGAAAATTCAAGAGCGATGATTTATTATGACTTTCGAAGTGGTTTAACACAAAAACAGTGTGTTGACCGGATGATTTCCGCATTTGGTGATGAAGCCCCATCCAAAACCACAATTTATCGCTGGTTTGCTGAATTTCAACGTGGACGTGTCAAGCTCAGTGATGATCCCCGTCAAGGTCGTCCAAAAACTGCAGTCACCCAAGAAAACGTTGATATTGTGCGTAACGTAAGCTGATTGAGGAAGATCGACATGTGATATACCGCGAAATTCAGGCAACTTTAGACATTGGCATGAGTTAAATACAAATAATCTTGCATGAACAATTAGATGTAAAAAAGTTGTTTTCCCGATGGATACCGCATTCGCTCTGTGAAGAGCAAAAAGTGGCTCGCGTTACTTGGTGCGTCAGAACTCTCGAAAGATTCCACGCAGGATCCTCAAATGCTGTATACAACATCGTATCAGGTGACGAATCCTGTATATACGCGTACGAACCCGAAACAAAAACCAGTCACGAGTTTGGGTGTTCGAAAATGAGTTAAAGCCAACAAAAATTGTTCGTTCACGGAGTGTTGTAAAAAAAATGGAGGCTACGTTTGTCTCCAAAACCGGCCATGTTACGACTATTCTTCTTGAGGGACAAATAACGGTTAATGCAGAATGGTATGCTAGCATTTGTTTGCCACAGGTCGTTTCTGAACTCCGTAAAGAGAACTGCAACCGCCGCATCATCCTCCATCACGACAATGCGAGTTCTCACACCGCACACAGAACAAAAGAGTTTTTAGAGCAAGAAAAAATAGAATTATTAGACCATCCGCCGTACAGCCCCGACCTAAGCCCTAATGATTTCTATACTTTCCCTAAAATAAAGAATAAATTGCGTGGACCGAGATTTTCATCACCTGAAGAAGCTGTGGACGCCTACAAAACGGCCATTTTGGAGACCCCAACTTCCGAATGGAATGGTTGCTTCAATGATTGGTTCCATCGTATGGAAAAATGTGTCAAATTTCGCGGAGAATACTTCGAAAAGCAATAAATACATTTTTAAATAGTAATGTTGTGTCACTTCCTTGATTCCCGAAATTTTCAGTGCCGCCCTCGTATGATATAGATGTGATATTTTGGATTTGTTTGAGCACGGCAAGAGGAACGTCTTCATCAGACGGATCTTGAACATCGTACCTTTTTAGTTCGAGGATTTGCATATCAGGATCAACATACAATTGCTTTGCAGCAACAATTATTATTATTACAATTCACTTGGTAACTTTTGGGGTCAGGCAGTTACAAAAACCTCTCTTTGTAAATTTAGAAAAGCAGGAAAGCTCTGTATACTTTAAGGTATTTCGTTTATCTGTAAATATAGGATAGTTTTCGGCAGATCGTCTTGCAATTTTTAGATGACTGTCTCTTTTATCAAAAACGTCTTGATTTTACTGGTGTTTTCAAGTTCGGTTCGGACTCCTTATTGTCTTGTACCATTCTTTTATACACTTGGTCAATTATAGATAAAAAAGTTTTTATAGTTTTGGTTGTCTTCTGGTTTCTCGTTATTTTTAACTTATTTTTGTTTACTCCGCATAAGTTTTTTCTTATACTTTTCACACAATTTTTTAAATTTTTTATTTTCCTTATCAATTTTTTTGTTCTATATACTTAAGATTAATTTTTTCACATTTTTCTTCCCCGCTCCCTAAACGCATTTGAAACCGGTGATGCAGGTGGTGTTTGGTGGACTGCTTGAATATTTTGATAATGGAGAACTAGAGGGTGTCACATCTATTCTTTTCCTGTACTCCCGTTGCCTTAGTTTCCAAATTAAATTTTTTTGTTTTCTTTCTTTTGACGACAAATCTTTTGCTAATCTTTTCACTTTGTGGTAGTGCTCTCGATGTTTTCTTTTGCTTTCTTCATATTTTTCAGGGTTTTGTTTCAGCCTTTCTCGATATCGCTTTTGTTTTTCTGCTGATGTTAAACGTGCCATTGCGTATCTAAGGAAGATAGAAATACAGTTTTTAAATTTTAGTTTATAAGAAATTATTCAATGTAAGACAAAAATAAGAGATGTAAATTAGAAAGAACTAGCTTCCGCTTCCGACTTTTTACTGTAATAAAAGTATTTTATATCCTCACAGTATACTTGTGTGTCTAATTTCATCCAAATCTATCAGTAACTTTTGTGTTAATAGGTTATTAGTTATTTTTTTATAGGATCGGGTGACAAACGAGCACACAGTCCACCTGATGGTAAGTGGTTACTGTGACCCATAGACATCTACATCTATCCTCAATAAAGAATCAAAATGCAGATGCGTTGTCACCCGTGAGGACTAAGATGGAATGCCTCTTTGCCAGTAAAAAGGGTCTCCAGTTCTCTACACTCACCATACGAAACACAGCAGCGTTAAGCTGCTATTTTACGCTGGTTTTCTGTGAGAGCGTGGTGCTTCCCCGGTCGAGCCGACCCATTCGTGCTACAACCATATTATAGCTGCAGCATGGCTCTACCACGTAGTTATTACCTACAAATACTCACTTTCGCACTTATAGTTAATATTTAAGTGGGGATAATTAATTGACATTGAAAACGACGTGCAAATGAAATAGGAGAAGTACAAGTTGAAAATGAAATAATAATACAGGAATCAATTATAAGATTTTAGTTTGATGCCACAATGTGTTCGGCAGCACGCGAATGTCTCTGAAGTTACCAACGATGTATATGGAGTTACCTTCAAAGTAACTCAGTATACCGATAACTGAGGAGACAATTCAAGTACTTTGGTCAAAAATTCATATTTTTATAACTATAAAAAATACGTAACATATGATTTAATCGAAAACCACAACTAGTACCATATAATATTATTATTAAAAAGTTACTACTTACATTTTACGAGAAAATCCGGTAACTCAGTTGACGGCGCAAAAAGGTACTCGCACTCCCTGCGAGCTTTGGAAGCATATTGATTGGCTTGCCGGCACTCAACAAAGTGTCACCCGCTATTGTTACCCGATATGATTTAAATGAAGTTAACAACGGCAAGACATCATCTAAGCGTTCTTTAACACAAATTTTGGAGGTAACTCCGCATACACGAGCAAAAGAAATTTATTGAGGGACAGTTCTAATTATTTTTTTCTTCAAAAATTTTATGTTTATTAATATCAGTGGTTAATCATATAAAGTTTATTGTTTTGTATCTTTGTAAAATTAATTTCAAAATAGGGTTTTATACAAAAAATGTTTTAAATTGGAATTAAAATGAGACACTATGGTTTCAGTACAAGGACTTTTTACCATATAGGTACTGAGTTACCCTGAATATCAAAACATTAATTTTCGGTACCTTTAGCATTTTTCTTATGTTGCCTTGTAATTTGTTACATGTTTAGATTACCATTTACCAATAAAAAACTTTCAAGTAACTCATTAAGTTAAAAAAAAAAACTGCTAGGGACACCTACGAGGGGCATTCAAAGAATAGTGTATGTGAGTGAGCCTACCAATATGCAGGACATAAAATTCTGTAAATCATTTAATTTTAGTATTTTCTTACAACCTGTTTCATTAGAAAGTAATTTTGCCGATCCTAAACTCGTAAAAGTATGAAGGGAAAGTTGCAATTAAACACAATAAGTATTTTCATTCCTTTCGTAAGCCGGTGAAGTAAGCGAGAGAATACGAGTGAGAAAGAAGTAGTGACGTAGGTACTGTACTAATGGTGGGGAACGGGAGTGTCTTATGAATGGAGTGGCTACGTTATTTACTTGTGTAGTATTTTCTAGTACTGTGACAATAAATTTAGGCTAGTTTTTGGATAAAACAAACCTCGATAACATTGTGATAGATAAATAATAAAAAATTCTGACAGTGCCATTATCACTAGTAACATCTGCTGCAATTGTACTTAATTTTTTTTTATACTTACAAAATAGTGGTGTATAGAATAGCTCCGAACTTACTCGGAGCGTTGTTTCGCTCCCCGGGTAGACACCTTGCCCGGCGACAGATCTCTCCTTTTCCTTCCACCGGCTACATATTCTTTCTAAAACACTTGTTGGATCTAAGAACTCCCTACAACAGTCAACCCGCGCCTATTTTTGAAGCGCAGTGAGTATTCGCGACACCCATCTCGCGGTGACTTTTGTGAGGTTGAGATAGCCATGCAATATGATGTGTATGTTACCAACGGATAGGTCAGAGTCATTTCTGCTAACATCTTAATTCTTACTCGTACATCTTCTAATTTTTCAGAAGTTTTTCAATAATTTTCACAATTTCTTCTATAACCGCTGTGAATGGCGCGGAGGTCATCTTCGGTGCTTTCTCTGCCTCTTTTGAATTCACTTGACCACTTCTGTAAGATTGACATTGAAGAAGCAGTCTTGGTAAAATGCCACCATTTCTTCGTAGATGTTTTTTTTTGAATTTTACCTTGTGTAGTGAGAAATTTACTCGTAATGGTGTTCGATTTTTTTCAACCTTATCGAGTCAGTCATTCTCGTCGTCTATGACTGAAGGTTACATGAGAAGTAATGAAGTTATCAAGACGAAATTTCATATGATACCCTAAGGTAGTGTCGTTAGCTAATGATTTTTTAAAATTATCCACACACTCTAATACCAAGAATACATTGAACGCCCCTCGTAAGAGTGGGTAAAAAAGTTGATCCGCCCTGTAGAGTAGCCCACTCGACTTATATATTAATGTTAATTGTAGCTGTTAAAAGTAGTATAATTAAAGACACAGCAAGAACATAACGCCTCTTCTCATTTGACACCTTCAACATCACAGCCCACTTATGAAAGTGTAGTGTAGTAATTTGTGATTATGTACTCCGGTCAGAGACAAAAAGTGTGTGTTGGGACCCGCGTATATAGGGTTCCGTACAGATTATACAAATAAATAAAATTGAAGTGTCAGTTTGTAATGTCAAAATTACGGTTTTTTACTAAATGCATATGAAAGTAAATACGGTACCTATAACTAAACATATACAATTTTTAAAATTTTTGTCTGTCTGTCTGTCTGTTTGTTCCGGGTAATCTCGAAACGGCTGGACCGATTTTGACAGGACTTTCACTGGCAGATAGCTGATTTCATAAGGAGTAACTTAAGCTACTTTCGTTTTAGAAAAAGAATTAGGGTTCCGCGCAAAAACATAAAAACCCTAACACGCGAGCGAAGTCGCGGGGAATAGCTAGTCCATAAATATAAATGAAATTTAAGTGTCTGTCTTTAATCTATACAAATAAATAATATATAAGTGTCTGTTTTTAATGTTAAAATAATAGCTTTTTACTAAATGCATATGAAAATATATACGGTACTAATAACAAAAAACAATTTTTAAGTTTTTTGTCTGTCTATCTGTCTGTTTGTTCCGGCTAATCTCCGAAACGGCTGGACTGATTTTGACCGAACTTTCACTGGCAGATAGCTGATGTTATAAGGAGTAACTTAGGATACTTTTATTTTAGAAAAAGAATTAGGGTTCGGCGCAAAAAATAATAACCCATGAAATCGTAGTAAATTCCACGCGGGCGAAGTCGCGAAGGACAGCTAGTATTAAATAAACTGGCTCACGGGGTTATTTGCGCGCTATTTAGACATAAATAACTATTTAAAAAATTGTTGTGACTGTCTGTCCGTGTTAATCTTCGGAATGGCTGAACTGATTGTAATGAAACCTCACAAACTGATAGAGAGAAACGCCAGGAGTGATGTTGGCTATTTAGGGTATTTAATCGGAAAAGCTTGGAGTTTTTTTTTATTGATTTTTTTTTAATGACTATCCTAAATCTAAATAATGCCACACTAATAAATCCTACCCAAGCAAAGCCGGAGCGGGTCGCTAGTCTTTAATATTTTCTTAATTTTATAAACCACTTTTATTATCTTTACCAAGTAAGAGCTATTTAAAGATTTTCAATTCAGGTCTGGGTGCACATAATATATTCTAATGTAAAAGTTGACATTTTTATTTTGATACTTAGAAACGAGGTTTTGACTTGCCAGGGGAATACCCTAATAATTTAAATCAGCACTTACTTAAAATCAGTGCTCTGTGTATGCTTCACCGAAGTCACCATGTGTCTTTTCCAAGCTTCTTCTGATAAGAATTTCACGTCACACTGCTCGCAGTACGGACCTTCTTCACTTTCTTCTGCTTCTAACTTCTCCTTGAAATAAATAAGTAGCTGTATTACATGTGTTCATATAAACACATGTTACAATACATATTACAGTATAAACACATGTTTAAATTGTAAATTCTCATATCAAATAATATGTGTTTGTGCAGTGAAAATTAAATTGGTTGAATATAACAGTGTACTCTTAGTTAGAAGGAGGAATGGATTATGAATGAGAGCATTCCATCTTAGGTCGCAGGAGTGGCAAAGATACGTTGGGCTACAGCATTTAGTTACCATCAGGTGGTCTGCGCTCGGTTGTCGACTCGCGTCTATAAAAAGAGGCTGTTTCTATTTGAAATCCATTATCTTTGGAGGCCATTATCAGGCCTGCTGGAAGCCATATCAATATGAATTTAGCAGTGACTTAGTACAAGTCTCTTTTTACTTCACTATGATACTGACATGTATTAACGTGCAAAGAAATTATTAAAAAATCTAAAATATATTTAATTGCTTTCTTTAACTCTATTCAAACAAATATTCTGCGGCGGCTGTGTACGAGAATTAACTCATTAGCTCATTGTCTGGACGAAGACAATAATTAGAGTCAAGACCAGTGATGGAGCAAGGATTTAAATGCAAGGCGTTAGCTGAGATCACGACTGACGAGGTCCTTGTGGATCATGGTGCGGTGCATGGCGAGGCCGAGGCGGCTCACGAAGGAGTATGTGCGGTGTGTATAGTGTATAGTGTATATATAGTGTAGGGTGTATACTGACGAGGTCCTTGTGCATCACGGTGCGCTGCATGGCGAGGCCGAGGCGGTTCACGAAGAAGTATGTGCGGTGTGTATAGTGTAGTGTGTATACTGACGAGGTCCTTGTGCATCATGGTGTGTTGCATGGCGAGGCCGAGGCGGCTCACGAAGGAGTATGTGCGGTGTGTATAGTGTATAGTGTATATATAGTGTAGGGTGTATACTGACGAGGTCCTTGTGCATCATGGTGTGTTGCATGGCGAGGCCGAGGCGGCTCACGAAGGAGTATGTGCGGTGTGTATAGTGTATAGTGTATATATAGTGTAGGGTGTATACTGACGAGGTCCTTGTGCATCATGGTGTGTTGCATGGCGAGGCCGAGGCGGCTCACGAAGGAGTATGTGCGGTGTGTATAGTGTATAGTGTATATATAGTGTAGGGTGTATACTGACGAGGTCCTTGTGCATCATGGTGTGTTGCATGGCGAGGCCGAGGCGGCTCACGAAGGAGTATGTGCGGTGTATATAGTGTATGGTGCATACATATATAGTGTAGGGTGTATACTGACGAGGTCCTTGTGCATCACGGTGCGCTGCATGGCGAGGCCGAGGCGGTTCACGAAGAAGTATGTGCGGTGTGTATAGTGTAGGGTGTATACTGACGAGGTCCTTGTGCATCATGGTGTGTTGCATGGCGAGGCCGAGGCGGCTCACGAAGGAGTATGTGCGGTGTATATAGTGTATGGTGCATACATATATAGTGTAGGGTGTATACTGACGAGGTCCTTGTGCATCACGGTGCGCTGCATGGCGAGGCCGAGGCGGTTCACGAAGAAGTATGTGCGGTGTGTATAGTGTAGGGTGTATACTGACGAGGTCCTTGTGCATCATGGTGTGTTGCATGGCGAGGCCGAGGCGGCTCACGAAGGAGTATGTGCGGTGTGTATAGTGTATAGTGTATATATAGTGTAGGGTGTATACTGACGAGGTCCTTGTGCATCATGGTGCGGTGCATGGCGAGGCCGAGGCGGCTCACGAAGGAGTATGTGCGGTGTGTATAGTGTATAGTGTATATATAGTGTAGGGTGTATACTGACGAGGTCCTTGTGCATCATGGTGTGATGCATGGCGAGGCCGAGGCGGCTCACGAAGGAGTATGTGCGGTGTGTATAGTGTATAGTGTATAGTGTATATATAGTGTAGGGTGTATATTGACGAGGTCCTTGTGCATCATGGTGCGCTGCATGGCGAGGCCGAGGCGGCTCACGAAGGAGTATGTGCGGTGTGTATAGTGTATATATAGTGTAGGGTGTATACTGACGAGGTGCTTGAGCATCATGGTGCGGTGCATAGCGAGGCCGAGGCGGCTTACGAAGGAGTATGTGCGGTGTATATAGTGTATGGTGCATACATATATAGTGCAGGGTGTATACTGACGAGGTCCTTGTGCATCATGGTGCGGTGCATGGCGAGGCCGAGGCGGCTCACGAATGAGTATGTGCGGTGTGTATAGTGTATAGTGTATATATAGTGTAGGGTGTATACTGACGAGGTCCTTGTGCATCACGGTGCGCTGCATGGCGAGGCCGAGGCGGTTCACGAAGAAGTATGTGCGGTGTGTATAGTGTAGGGTGTATACTGACGAGGTCCTTGTGCATCATGGTGTGTTGCATGGCGAGGCCGAGGCGGCTCACGAAGGAGTATGTGCGGTGTGTATAGTGTATAGTGTATATATAGTGTAGGGTGTATACTGACGAGGTCCTTGTGCATCATGGTGTGTTGCATGGCGAGGCCGAGGCGGCTCACGAAGGAGTATGTGCGGTGTATATAGTGTATGGTGCATACATATATATAGTGCAGGGTGTATACTGACGAGGTCCTTGTGCATCATGGTGCGGTGCATGGCGAGGCCGAGGCGGCTCACGAAGGAGTATGTGCGGTGTGTATAGTGTATAGTGTATATATAGTGTAGGGTGTATACTGACGAGGTCCTTGTGCATCATGGTGCGGTGCATGGCGAGGCCGAGGCGGCTCACGAATGAGTATGTGCGGTGTGTATAGTGTATAGTGTATATATAGTGTAGGGTGTATACTGACGAGGTCCTTGTGCATCACGGTGCGCTGCATGGCGAGGCCGAGGCGGCTCATGAAGAAGTATGTGTGGTGTGTATAGTGTAGGGTGTATACTGACGAGGTCCTTGTGCATCATGGTGTGATGCATGGCGAGGCCGAGGCGGCTCACGAAGGAGTATGTGCGGTGTGTATAGTGTATAGTGTATAGTGTATATATAGTGTAGGGTGTATATTGACGAGGTCCTTGTGCATCATGGTGCGCTGCATGGCGAGGCCGAGGCGGCTCACGAAGGAGTATGTGCGGTGTGTATAGTGTATATATAGTGTAGGGTGTATACTGACGAGGTGCTTGAGCATCATGGTGCGGTGCATAGCGAGGCCGAGGCGGCTTACGAAGGAGTATGTGCGGTGTATATAGTGTATGGTGCATACATATATAGTGCAGGGTGTATACTGACGAGGTCCTTGTGCATCATGGTGCGGTGCATGGCGAGGCCGAGGCGGCTCACGAATGAGTATGTGCGGTGTGTATAGTGTATAGTGTATATATAGTGTAGGGTGTATACTAACGAGGTCCTTGTGCATCACGGTGCGCTGCATGGCGAGGCCGAGGCGGTTCACGAAGAAGTATTTGCGGTGTGTATAGTGTAGGGTGTATACTGACGAGGTCCTTGTGCATCATGGTGCGGTGCATGGCGAGGCCGAGGCGGCTCACGAAGGAGTATGTGCGGTCTGTATAGTGTATATATAGTGTAGGACGTATACTGACGAGGTCCTTGTGCATCATGGTGCGGTGCATGGCGAGGCCGAGGCGGCTCACGAAGGAGTATGTGCGGTGTGTCTAGTGTATATATAGTGTAGGATGTATACTGACGAGGTCCTTGTGCATCATGGTGCGGTGCATGGCGAGGCCGAGGCGACTCACGAAGGAGTATGTGCGGTGTGTATAGTGTATAGTGTATATATAGTGTAGGATGTATACTGACGAGGTCCTTGTGCATCATTGTGCGGTGCATGGCGAGGCCGTGGCGACTCACGAAGGAGTATGTGCGGTGTGTATAGTGTATATATAGTGTAGGGTGTATATTGACGAGGTCCTTGTGCATCATGGTGCGGTGCATGGCGAGGCCGAGGCGGCTCACGAAGGAGTATGTGCGGTGTGTATAGTGTATAGTGTATATATAGTGTAGGGTGTATACTGACGAGGTCCTTGTGCATCATGGGGCGGTGCATGGCGAGGCCGAGGCGGCTCACGAAGGAGTATGTGCGGTGTGTATAGTGTATAGTGTATATATAGTGTAGGGTGTATACTGACGAGGTCCTTGTGCATCATGGTGCGGTGCATGGCGAGGCCGAGGCGGCTCACGAAGGAGTATGTGCGGTTTGTATAGTGTATAGTGTATATATAGTGTAGGGTGTATACTGACGAGGTCCTTGTGCATCATGGTGCGGTGCATGGCGAGGCCGAGGCGGCTCACGAAGGAGTATGTGCGGTGTGTATAGTGTATATATAGTGTAGGATGTATACTGACGAGGTCCTTGTGCATCATGGTGCGGTGCATGGCGAGGCCGAGGCGGCTCACGAAGGAGTATGTGCGGTGTGTATAGTGTATAGTGTATATATAGTGTAGGATGTATACTGACGAGGTCCTTGTGCATCATGGTGCGGTGCATGGCGAGGCCGAGGCGGCTCACGAAGGAGTATGTGCGGTGTGTATAGTGTATAGTGTATATATAGTGTAGGATGTATACTGACGAGGTCCTTGTGCATCATGGTGCGGTGCATGGTGAGGCCGAGGCGGCTCACGAAGGAGTATGTGCGGTGTGTATAGTGTATAGTGTATTTATAGTGTAGGGTGTATACTGACGAGGTCCTTGTGCATCATGGTGCGGTGCATGGCGAGGCCGAGGCGGCTCACGAAGAAGTATGTGCGGTGTGTATAGTGTATAGTGTATATATAGTGTAGGGTGTATACTGACGAGGTCCTTGTGCATCATGGTGCGGTGCATGGCGAGGCCGAGGCGGCTCACGAAGGAGTAGCCACACGCGCCGCAGATGTGCTGCGACGGGTGTTTCATGCGCACGTGGCTCAGGTACGACGTCCACTTGCTGCCCACGCGGAACGGGAACAGAACGGGACGAAACGCTTTTATGAATCTTTTATGGCGGCGTTGGCTACCGTGTAGGGCAAAAATATCCAGTACCCTATATCGCCCCGTGGGTGTCGGAAAAGGTGACATAGATAAAAAAAAACAGGAAACAGGAAGCAGCAACAACTAAAAATTTGAAAAAAGAAATTGCGGTTGCCGGCCTGCCAAGCATGGCAACTATGGATCATATCCCCCTTATAAAGCTTAACCTATGGGAAGGCCTATGTTCAGCAGGGGACTTTAATAAGCGTGATAAATGAATTAATGATGAATTAAGATCATGATCATCATCGTCAAGAAGGACTTCCAATAGAAAAAAATCGAAATCACGAATCGCTGTAATACATTATTTAAAATATAAATAAAATTACAAAGATCTTCACATAGGGATATTTTGGGGAGATTTTAATGGCAGCTAGTATCTCAAGTTCCCAAAGCGTCTAAGTGAACTAATCGACTTGACTTTTATATCACCATTGTAAAGTTTGTTTTCTTGTTTCCACTAATAGAGATGTTGCGTGACTGTTGCACAAATATGTAATTTACAGAAACCACTTCTAATCATTGCTTGAATCATAATACAGGTGCAGCAATCCACCGGCGATCAAGTTCTCGCCAATATCACAATCCCGCCCCATAAAGAAAATCAAAGTATATCTTGTTCATATTGTCTGACCGAAGCTTTGCCACCTTTGGCCAAAATAAACACCTTAAGCGCGATTGCTAATCATGTGGTCCTGGGTTCGAATCTCCGGAAAGACCAAAATCAGTTATTGGGTTTCCTGTCAAGAAATTCTTAGTAGCAACCTGGAGTTAGGGTGATGGCAGTGTTTCACCCTCGTGATTCGGAAAGCACGTAAAGCACGTAAAAAAGTTGGTAAAGCCGTGAGGACTAAGACGGAATGCCTCCTTTCCAGTAAAAAGAGTCTCTGCTTCTCTCACTCACCATACGAAACACAGCAGTGTTAAGCTGTTATTTTACGCTGGTATTCTGTGAGAGTGTGGTCCTTCCCCGGTCGAGCCGACCCATTCGTACTACAACTATACTACTAAATAGCTGTAGCATGGCTCTACCATGTAAAGTCCGTCTCTTAGGATTAAGAAAGTTAGGGAATTGTGAGAGCACCTGTGCTTACGGCACACACTTGTAGAATATTATCCTGTCCTGCGTAGATGGCTAGTCTTCGTTGAGATTGGCCGCCGTGACCTAAATTGGGTGTGGAGGACATTATTATTAATATAAGAACTTACGTCGATATTTCATCGCAGTACTGGCATTTGTAAGTGACGCCCTTATGCCACCTCTGGTGCTGTTTTGCTTGTGTCCTGTGAAATTATAGAAACTTTACAAACTTTAAAATTACTGACTGAAGACTGAGATGATATGGGGCCTCTTCACGCTATAACAGCTGAGGCAAAGGCTTCAAGAAAAAAGGCTCAAAGAAGACTACAAGTGCATTGCAGCTTTGAGCATCAAGATGGACTGCTTCACATTCTATAATGGGCTCATGTCAATACAAAAACTTTTTATGGGCTGTCACAATTAAACATCCTGTAGCATTATTGTATTGGAATGTTTTTTTTTTACACGCAAGTCATTGTGAAATAGTAGAGCCACACTCCAGCTATATTATAGCTACAGAACAAATTGATCTGATTGACCGAGGAAGGACCATGCGCTCAATGAATACCAGCTTGAAATGCTGCTGTGTTCTGTATGGTGAGTGTAGTGAATACGAGACCCTTTTTAGGCAAGGAGATATTTGTAGACTTAAGGGGTAATAACACATCTGCATTTTGATTCTTAACTGAGGATACATGTAAGAGTATTATTATTTAAAATTTGTACAAACAAAAAAACAAAATTATGTAAAGTGAAATATGTTTTTAAAAAAAGTACCGTTGGGTTTCTTGCTGGTTCTCCCCAGGACAGAGGTATTTTTCGAACCAGTGGTAAATAAATAAATGACTTTCAATAAGTATTATGTAATAATCTATATTGAATAAAAATTATTTTATTCTAGTCTATGGACTACAGCATACACTTACCATCAAGTGGACAGTGCTCGCTTGTCACTCACAATTCTTCAAAAAATTAATTTCTATTATAGCTTCTCATGTTCAAATAAACATGTTCATCATCATGATCATCATTACAGCCCTTCACAAGTCCACTGTTAAACATAAGCCTCCCCCAAGTAATGCTACATAGCTTGGTCTTGAGCCACCTGCATCCATTGACTTCCCGCTGTCTTACCAGATCATCACTCCATCTAGTCGGGTGCCGCGCTACACTTCGCCTACCGGTACGAGGCTGCCACTCGAGAAACTTTCCTCCCAATCGGTTGTCGGTTCTTCAAGATTGGTCGACCCATTGACATTTCAGCTTACTAATCCGCTAGGCTACATCGGTTACACTGGTTCTACTGCGGATATCCTCATTTATAAATTTATCACGCAGAGAAATTCCGAGCATAGCCCTCTCCATAGCTTGCTGAACAACCTTGAACTTCTTCATACGGCCGGCAGTGAAGGATAACGTCTCAGACCCATAAGTCATCACTGGCAACACGCACTGCTTTTCTGTATCAAATAGCAGAACGGCAACAACACAACTTTGCCATTACCACGAAGATATTGATCTTTGTGCAAAAAAAAAACACGCACTGCTTGTACAATCATGTTTTCAAGGTTTGAGGTATACCTGAGAAGAAGATGTGTCATAATCTCCCGAACGCTACTCGGCCGAATTGGAACCGTCGATTGACCTCTCGGTCGAAGTAGAACTTACCTAGTCGGACTATTTGACCCAGGTAAACATACTCGTACACAACTTAGAGCCTAGTGCTCCCAACAACTACCGGCATAGGTGTGACATGGACGTTACACATGATCTCTGTTTTGTCCATGTTCACCTTAAGAGCTATCCATTAGGAGGCACTGTTGAGGTCAATGAGCATAGCACTCAGGTCCTCCAGCGATTCTGCAATAAGGACTATATCGTCGGCAAAACGAATGGGAGTGATGTACTCGCAATGATGTTAATACCGTATCCTTTTCAGTCCAGTAGGTTGAAATAGTCTTCCAATGCAGCGATGAAGAGTTTCGGGGATATAACGTTACCCTGTCTTACACCTCTCTGCAGTTAGATAGGTTTCGTACTCTAGTTCTGTACTCGGATAACCCTACTTCAGCACTTCGATATACCAATAGTCAACTTGGCGTTGCTGAAGGCATTGCAGCACAGGTCAAATTTCGACGGAATCAAAGGCTATGGTCTACATGCGCAAGACAACGTGGCAGATTGTACTCTTCAGTCTTTTATACAATTTGCCGAAGGGTATGTATGTGCTAAAGCCTTTTCGTAAACCGGCAAGTTCCGGAGGCTGGAATTTATTGAGTCTGCGTGCGAGACGATTCGTTATGACTCTCGATATAACAGCACATACCGATTTCCCTTCTGTGTTAAGTAAGTAAGTGTTACTTAACACAGAAGGGAAATCGGTATGTAGTTCTTCAAGAGAGCGCTGTCGCCGTTCTTGAAGAACAAGACCACCGCACTTATGCTCCACGACTCCGGAGTAGTGCCACCATGGAGGAGAGAGAATTGAAGAGCTCCTGAAAGAGTTCAAATACTGTTTTCCACCCGCTTTCAGAAGCTCCACTGTCATTCCCTCTTCGCCCGGGGCCTTGCTGTTTTTAAGGTCCTGGAGTGCCATTCTGATCTAGTCAAACTGACATCCGGAACATCATCAGAATAGTATCGGATAAGACTTGCTCTTGGATCGTTACTCACACTTGCTTGTGGCTCAAACAATGACGTGTACAGCCGCCAATAGAACCTCTCAATCTCACTCCAAATCTCACGTGTCCTGGAAAAGATGCTGCTACATTCGGTCTTCAGCTTCGACAGTTGGCTCTTTCTGGCAGATAGATCTCTGGCAAAGACTTTGGAGCCTCGTTCGCTGTTCCGCTCGATCGCTTCTTCATTACAAGCTGTGTCGAAGTTGCGTAAGTCTGGCCACATGCATTTGGAGATTTTTATGTTCAGATGCCTGTATGCTGTTATATCTGCTGAAGACTGCAGCTTCACCTCCCGTCTAACAGCCATGAGATTTAATTATGATCGTAGAGTTTTCTTGTTCTTCTGCTACGGGTCTTGCAGAACTTAGTTCCGACCACACACAGAACAGTCTTCGAAGCACTGAAAATGGTCTTGTAACTCGTGCTGATAGTTTTCGGGACTTTGTATTAGAGCATGAGGGGGGCGGAGCATTGACTTTATTAGAGGGGACCTCTCCAACTTAACGTTTAGTTTCAGTGTGCTTTTCACCATTCAGTGATCGCTGCCAGTTTTCATCCACGCGATCACTGAGACAGCACTGAACAGTTGCCGTCTGGTCGTCATAATGAAGTAAATCTCATTTTTGACGAACCGTCGGAGCTCGACTAGGTTCACTTTCTGTGGGGCCACTTCTGGAAGAAAAATTCTATCATAAAGGGTCCTCCTTTCTCAATGAAGTAAGCCAGCTGGTGGCCCCTTGGGTTCCGTTGCCCTATTCTGAACTTCTCACCTTCAGCTCACCACTTTCTCATGTGCCTAGTTTTGCGTTAAAATCTCCCATTAACACCGTATAGGGGGATTTGGAGGAATGAATGGCTCTAGAGATATCCCCACATTTCCTCCACCTGCTCATCGGGATATGCCAAGGCTGGGTTAGGTTATGCTAACTTGTATGACCGAGTAACCAAGTAAAAAAAAATCAAATTATAATGTAATATCAACTTATTATATAATTAATAGGGTCAGGTATTTCTTTGTGGAAATACACACGATCGTCGATAACACGGCAAGTGTTTCGCCTCTAAACAAGGCATCCTTAGGTGAAATAAACTCTGCGGTGACTGAACGCTAAGTTGACTTGATTAAATAGTGCACCCATAAAGAAAGAGCGGGAGGTGCAATCACGTACACATAAGTAAAATGATTTTAGGTACATATGTGTTCGTCTAGCGGTGAGCATATTCAAAAAGAAAGAGAAGAAAGATGTTTGCGTGAATGCGTACGCAACGCAGTCTATCATTTTTAAGGCTGCGACTGGCGTTTAACTTACGTTGTCTTCGAGACATAAGGGCAAGCTTTGCAGGCGTACTTCTTCTCGTGGTTGGTGACGTGCTTCTGCAGCGTCCGCTTCGTTTTGAAGCGGAACTTGCAGATCGAGCACTCCAGATCACCCGCGCTCTGCACGCAAAACATACACATTACAATTTATAAACGTGACACAAAATAGTTCGTGCGCGTTAAGAAATAGGAAGTCATCGTTGTGCATCGGCCTAGCCACGCCCCCCGACCAATCAAGTCGCTAAAAATTAGTAAATCAAGTTCACAGTGACCGGGGGAGGGCAGTAGAGATGAGTTGTACTAGGTAAATTTTGTACTATGTGCACTTATTCCAATTCCTCACAAATACTCGATCGAAATACCTGTTCCACCTAGTACATGAAGTAAGCATAAAGTTTCGTATTGTTCACAGACTAATATGATGCTTACACATGTTTTATGCAATAGCTTACACATTAAAGTATGTTTAGTGTTTACGTACAGGCGATACGTGACGTTAAAGAATAGTAGTTATCCATTCATACTTTACACAGACTTAGGACTGTCAACGTCAAGATTTATCTACATTCTAGATTATTACTTACTTACTTACTTATCTTCACGCACAATTCCTGACGGTGTAGCCAGAGAGAACAGATCGCCAAGTGTCACGATCCTTACATACCTCTTTCGCTTCTTTCAGATTCATTATCTTCTTCATACATGCACGTCTAGGTATCCGAGTACTCTTGACCCTCCCCTCTTCGACCAATTTGCTCACATGTTCTTCGAAAGTTAGTCTCGGTCTACCTCGACACCTTTTAATATTTACTTTTGCGCTATATATTTTCTTCACCATTCGGTCTTCACTCATCTGCTCAATGTGCCCAAACCATCGAGGCATGCCCTTATCAATTTTTGTGATAAGGTCATCTTTCAAACCTGCCATATTGCGAATCTCTTCGTTTCGCTTTCGGTCGGCCATGGTAACACCGCACATTTTACGAAGAGATCGCATCTCCACTGCATTCAACTTGCTTATATGCTTCTTCTGGCATACCCAGGTTTCGCTGCCATACAACAAAGTCGGTACCAACACTGCGCTATGTATTGCATGGCGTGCACTCTTCACTACGCCTTGCCTTTTGACTAACGCAGTCAGGGCACCATTGACTTTGTTCCCGGCAGCGACACGCCTGTCCACATCTAAATCACATCTTCCATCCCGGCTGAAAGCACTCCCCAAGTATACAATTTCATTTACCTGTTCTAGACATTCCTGATTTACCCATATTTCACACTTCGTTCTCTCTTCGTCCCTTTTAAATTCTAGATTATTGGCGTATTTAAAAGGTTTCAATTAATTTTTTTTCAGAGTAATCCAAAATTTGTCTTTTTTTCGTTTATTGTTTTTAATTATTTTTGTTTCTTTTTTTTAATTACCTATCTACGATCATTGTTTTTATATACGCGCAAAAAATCAGTCTTAAATTTTTTTAAACTAAATTGTATTTTACAAATGTTACACTCAGCCATTTGTTGGCCTTTATCGCTTCGTTTGGAAGCAATTTGTTTTAAACAATAAAAGCTTTAATGTCTAAATAAAAAGTAAATCGAAAGTTCTTTAACCACATCACAAAACTTCGTTATGAAAACCTATTGCTAAATAAGTCGAGCAGGTATCATTCAATACGGTGCCGAGATCACATTCGCATTAGTCCGTACTAGACACTCGACTGCATCATATGGTCTCCATTCGTATCGAGTATTTACAAGTACCTAGTGTATACAATCTGCCTAGTATTTGGTTGAAGTCCCCGGGACCAGTCCCGACTAGTCCCGTGTATTGACAGACAAAAATAGAAAGACTGCACAATAGTGTAGTTAAAAAGGCACAACACGAGTGCGCGTCGCGTTACTTTTATATAGATTGAAATATAGTTCAAATTCTAAATGACTGACACACGAATGATTCAGACAAATACGAGTGAGCGGCAAAGCAGACTAGTAACTACGACAACAAAATGCTATCTCGCTTCGCCGCGCCGGTACATACAGTGAGACTAGGTGGATCAAGTATTTTAAAAGTGGGAACAGGTACAACCTAGTGTCGTTTAATACTTAGTGCTTGGATCTATTCTAGTATATACGCTTTATCTCTAGAAGGCAGACCTTCGAACGAAACTGTTGTGTCCTTTGCGTATTACTTACATTAATTAAATTTTAAAAATAAATACCTCACCTAGTCGTAAGAATAAACGTGAATCGATAATTTATAGCGAAGAAAGACGAATAATTTACAATGTTTTTAAGTATACTTTTAACTGTGTGATTTATTTGTTTTTTACAATTATGGTGGCGTGTTGCAATAAATGTTTTTCTTAGTAACCGACCGAAGGTTCGGTTTCGGTTTCGGCAAAAAAATCTAGTTTCGGTTTCGGCAAAAAATCTGCCGAACCTTCGGCGACACCGAGAAACTCAGTGTTTGGATTATCGTGCATCGTTCGGATGAGTTTGTGACTCGTGTATTATGCATAATTATACAGAAACTAACTTTTTTATTCAATATAGATTGTAAATAATACTTATTGAAAGTCGCTCTTTTGTTTAATTACCACTAGTTCGAAAAAAGTTCAGTTCAGCAAGAAACCCAGCGGGACTTCTGTTAAATAACAATTTTTTTTTTAAATAATTACAGCTTACAATTAGAGGCGTAGCATGGTCTAATATAAACGTAGGCAAAGTTGCATCACCGAGGCCCCTTTTCTTTAGTTCCAAGGATCTACTCAATAGATCTATCCTACCAAACATGCTTTGACACGACATACGAGGGTGACACTGAATGTTTTTAGAACTGGTCACTTGTAAGCGATATAATAAAAAAAAATAAGTCAAAATTTTGAAAATGGAACTCTGGGAATATTATTGTGTATGTATTTTATTAATTTGTCATTTGTTTACGATTTGGCGGCAAATTGAAAATCGTCTGTGTCACGTCAGCATGAATTTAACGCGAGAAAATTTTCATATAATGATTTTTTATGAATTTCGATGTCATTTAAGTCAACAAGAAAATTATGATAGACTTGGATTGGCCTTTCACGATGAAACCCCATCTCGTGCTACTGTTTACAACTGGTTTAATCAGTTTAAACGTGGTCGCACTAATCTCACCGATGATCTTCTTGAGGGACGGCCTTCTACAGCGACGACTGAAGATAACATCAGTGTTGTGCGGCGTATGAAAGAGACTGACAAAAGAGTGACTTATCAGCAGATTCGGACAAGCTTAGGCATCGGTATGAGACAAGTGCACAAAATCCTCCATGAACATTTAGCGGTCAAGAAGCTTTGTGCCTGGTAGATACCTAAAAATTTGACAGGGGCTCAAAAACTCCGTCGTGTTGATTGGTGTCGGGAAATGGTTCAAAGATTTAACGGAGGTGACTCAAATGCTGTGTACGACATACTTACGGGTTACGAAAGCTGGGTTTATTGTTATGATCCTAAAACTAAGAGACAGTCTGCTGTCTGGGTGTTTCCTTCCGAGGAGTTGCCAACTAAAGTGAAGAGAAGCTTTTAACAGTGGTAGAGCCACGCGGCAGCCTTTGCTGTCGCACGGATGGGCCGGCTCGAACCGGGGTAGTACCACGACCTCACAGAAAACCAGCGAGAAGTAGAGGTTTACCTCTGCGTTTCGCTTGGTGAGTGCAGGTGGCCGGAGGCCCTTTTTACTGGAAATGAGGCATTCCATCTTAGTCTTCACAGGTGACAACGCATCTACATTTTGATTTGTAACAGAGGATAGATGTAGATGTCTATGGGCCGCAGCAACCACTTACCATCAGGTGGACTGTGTGCTCGTTTGTCACCCTTATCCTATAAAAAAAAGAGAGAGATCGAAGCGTGGAAAAAAAGATGGTGGCCTCGTTCTTCGGAAGGACAGTTCATTACGCAACGATTGTTTTAGAGGATCAAAAAACAATTACTGCAGAGTGGAACACTAACAATTGTTTGCTGTTTGTCTTGGAAAAAGTTCGGGAGAAACTACCTAGCAGCAGGATCCTCCTTCACCACGACAATGCCTCGTCGCACACCGCCAAGCAAACAATCGACTAGTTGGCGACGTCAGATGTGGAATTACTGGGTCACTCGCCCTATAGCACTGACTCCCCGCCTTGCGATTTTCATTTATTTCCGAAAATAAAAGAAAAACTTCGAGGAAAACGTTTTATGGACTCCGAGGAAGGAGTGGCTGCGTGTCAAAATGCCGTCGAAGAGACCCCTAAGGACGAGGGGGTAAGTGCTTTTCTCAGTGGTTCCATCGGATGCAGCAATGTATTGATGTAAATGGATACTATTTTGAAAAGATATAATAAATATATATCTGCATTTTTTTTTATAGGAGAGGGGACAAACGAGCATGCGGCTCACCTGATGCTAAGTGACTATCGCCGCTCATGAACAACCGCAACACCAGGGGAATTGCAGATGCATTGCCGGCCTTTTAAAAAGGTGTAGGCTCTTTTCTTGAAGGTCCCTAAGTCGTATCAGTCCGGAAAAATCGCTGGTGGTAAACTATTCCACAAGGAAGTTGTGCGAGGAAGAAAACATCTTCTAAATCGCACAGTGGTGGACCGCCAATCATCCAGATGGTGTGGATGGTATCGGGAGTTCTGCCGCGATGTGCGTTCGTGAAATTTGGCGGCTGGGATTAATCCGAACAATTCCTCAAAGCACTCCCCGTGGTAGATGCGAAAGAAAATGCAAAGCATCCCTTCACATTTTCAACATCTCTTCGCAATGCCAATGAATCGAGCCGATCGGAAAGGACTCGGTCGTCGACGATTCGAGCCGCTCTGCGCTGGATGCGGTCAAGTGGAAGGAGCTGACACTAGGGAGCCCCTGCCCAGAGATGGGAACAGTATTCCATGTGAGGCCGAACCTGCGCCTTGTAAAGTTGCAGGCGTTGAAATGAAATACTGTCCCGCTCTGCTGAGCACGCCAAGCTTTTTAGAGGCCAATTTGGCCTTCTCTTCCAAGTGACCACGAAACTGCACGTCATTGGATATGTCGACTCCGAGGATTCCGATACTGGCTGAGGCAAGAAGGGGAGTGCCTTGAAACTGAAGAGATATGACAAAGGGGTTCTTTTTAGCGGTTAACGCGCAAACTTGTGTCTTCTGAGGATTAAACTGGACTAAATTTAATCGCCCCCCATCCGAGACTTTGTTCAGCAAAGACTAGACTTCAGACACAAGTTTGTTCCGGTACTCAGCGACGTTTTCCCGAGAAATATTGGCACGGCCGGTGTATAAAGCATTACCGGTGCTGTCATCCGCATAGCAATGAATGTTACCAGTTAGCAACATATCATTGATATGCAGAAGAAACAGCGTTGGTGATAGCACGCAGCCTTGTGGAACACCAGCGTTAATAGGCTTGTAGTCGGAGCATGCCCCGTCTACAACGACCTTGATGCTCTGATCTGCAAGGAAGCTGGTGATCCAATTGCACAATTTCTCGGGAAGCCCATAGGAAGGGAGCTTCGAAAGAAGCGCTTTGTGCCAAATCCGATCGAAGGCCTTCGTAATGTCCAAACTAACGGCTAATGCCTCCCCCTTGGACTCTACTGCCTCCGCCCATCTATGGGTCAGGTAGACCAGGAGATCACCAGCTGATCGACACCGACGAAAACCGTATTGGCGGTCACTAATCAGCTGGTGATCCTCAAGGTACCGCATGAGCTGGCAGTTAATAATGGATTCCATTATTTTGGAGAACAAGGAGGTGATGGCGATAGGCCTATAGTTGGACGGGTCTGAGCGGTCGCCTTTTTTAGGGATCGGGTGGACAAAAGCTGTCTTCCATGAATTCGGGACTACGCCTTGGGAGTAGGAGTACCGGAAAAGACGCGTTAGGACCGGTGCCAACTCCGGAGCACACGTCCCCAGCACAATTGGGGGGATTCCGTCAGGCCCACTCGACTTCTGGATGTCCAGGGAGAGAAGTGCTTTGCGAACCGAGCGCTGTGAGAACAGCACATCCGGCATGGAGCACTCACACCGCGGGATGGGCGGGTTTTGATTCTTTATTGAGGATAGATGTGGATGTCTATGGGTCACAGCAACCACTTACCATCAGGTGGACTCTGTGTTTGTTTGTCACCCTATCCTATAAAAAAAAACTAATAACTTGCTAGTTTGTTCAGTTTTTTTTTTAATTTCTAATAACTTTCAGTGTCGCCCTCGTACCTACTCATATCTATTAATTCCTGACAAATCTCGCATTCCGTCAATGTAACAATCGCGGTCTTTGAAGGTAGTTACAACCGCCTCGCAGTCGCATTTAAGAGGGCCTTCTTGCGAGGCCCCAAACAAACACACTGTAACGGTACATCTGAATGCACCCTTACAAATTCTTATAATTGACTGATCTTAAATCTTAAATAATAATAGTAATATAATACTCGTAATCTATAAATAAAAAGTAATAAATTATTACATATTGTTAATTTAAAATAGTTATTCTACGGAACCATAAACTAGTTAATTTAATCCGCGCAGCGTGAACCATTTTGCTCACCGATCTCTAAAACAAAAGACTCGGTAGGATTCGGACACGACGACGAGTCCCCGTTCGGGCCATTCCTCTTTCATTTCTACCTGAGACCGCTTCAAGTTCGCAACGCGCGTGACCCTCCTACTAACGACCGTTGAACCTGCTTACCTACAATTAAAATCTAAATTATTTGAGGTGCAGTTGATCCCGCTGGGGTGGGGTATTTAAACATTGTAACTGTTCTGCTTAATTATTACCTCTTTTGCTGAGGCTGCTTAGTGCTTAGCTTTAAGAATTTTAACTTCCTACAAGGGGTGCTGGAACTGACTAGGGCACATGTAGTGCTAAAGGAAGTTCCCCTAATGCTGGCCTCCGTCTGGAATTCCAGGATCTACGGCTGCCTAGGATCTACTGCTACTTAGGATCTACTACCACCTAGCATCTACCTGCTACCTAAGAGCTACTGCTGCCGAGCCGCGAGCTAACGGAGTGTTGGCCTACCCTCCTACCAACGGCCATCATCACTGTCGGGCTTGTGATTCACCGGCTTCTTCTGCCAGCTGGCTGTCTACGGCCGGTGGAAAAGCGCTTGGACTTCGCCCCTCGTCAGGCCAGTGATCCCCTTCATAGAACTTACTTGTACGTGTGCGGAAGTAAGAGTAATAAATAATTACAACAAATCTTGGCGTTTTAAGAACCCACCTATTCTGTACCCCTAACGGCACAGTGGCGCTCAACGTGGTTAATCTTACTTCCAAACATTCGCTTTTTTTTCTCGCTTTGCAGCTCTCAATTTATGTTTTGTGAACGAGGAGGTGTCTACAACAGCGAACTGGTACGAGAGAACCCACCTATTCTGTACCCCTAACGGCACAACACTTACATATATTTGTGACTTTTTTCTAGCGTAAAAGTGATCAAATTAATTAGTCATCTGTGGTAAATTCTGGGGGCATCGCATTTTAGGGGGCCTCGCGAGGCCCTTTTAAGTACGAGGCCGTGGGCGGGGGCAGGTTTTGTATATTTTCTGGGATTTTGTGAAGTTGTGTGTATATTGCGTGTAAGTGTGTGAGTGATATATTAAGTTAATGCTCTCATTGAATAATATTAACAATATTGTGAACACAATAAAATATGTTCTCAATTAGCGAGTAACTTTTTATGGGTGTAAGTGTTGATTTTTCTACATAATTGACTTAAAAAATTATTTCTTAACGTTAAATTGTTGATTTTTACTTTAAAATAAATAAATATATTACTACATGACTATTACCATAACTGTTTTTCATTAACATGCATTACCTATCTGTATATTATGTATAAAAATATACCAGATTTCAGTATACAATAAAAAAAATTAACATGTCTAAATAAGTTTAATAAGTCGGCCGAAACCGAAACCGACACCCAGACCGAAGGTTCGGTTTCGGTTGAAAACCCTGTTTCGGTCAGACACTAGTTTTTCTTTCTTTCAAATATGTCGTGGGAAATATCACGTTACAGCTTTGATCTTGTGACTACAATATAGTTATCTCACTGTATATTCATGTATATAACTCAACAACATTTAAGCTAGAAGAATAATGAATGAATAAACAATGAATGAATAAGGTTAAAACTCAACTGGATCGTGTTTCCCCACGTGATGTTTCCACGCGTGCGTGTCTATGAAGCCTTTATAGCACAAATTGCACTGGAACAACGCGTTCAGATAGTTCGAGGAAGTCTTGCGCTTCGTTATCTCTTCAATCTGTTCCTCCACCTGGGAAAAATTTAAATAATTTGTATAAACTTATTTCAAGTTTATTATACCACATTTTAGTTACATATTTATATGTGGTAGAGCCATGCTGCAGCTATATTACTGGTATAGTTGTAGCACGAATGGGTCGGCTCGACCGAGGAAGAACCACGCTTTCGCAGAATACCAGCATAAAATAGCAGCGTAACGCTGCTGTGTTTCGTATGGTGAGTGTAGAGAACCGGAGACCCTTTTTACTGGAAACGAGGCATTCCATCTTAGTCCTCACGGGTGACGACGCTTCTGAATTTTGATTCTTTGTTGAGGATAAATGTAGATGTCTCTGGGCCGCAGCAACCACTTACCACCAGGTGGACTGTGTGCTTGTTTGTCACCCTTATCCTATAAAAAATAATGATCTTACAATATATTGAAATTGATTTTATATGAAACATATTGACGTCTTGACTTAGTTCAGGAAAAAACATTTGTGGGGAAGAAACCGAATCCATGTAGAAAAGACTTAAGAGAATTCAGTGGTCAACGTAAATAATTACAATAGGAATTACTCGTAATCTATATTGAATAAAAATTTATTCTATTCTATCCCACTCTCATTTCTTTCTGTGCGGTTGAAAAAGTTAATGTTACATAATCTCACGCTTGTCACCCAGGGGGGTAGGCAGATTACCGTTAACATTGAAGCCTATCGAAAGTCCGCTGCTGAACAAAGGCCTCCCACATTTAATTTTATAGGAGGAATATTTGCCATACTTGCCACGCCTGGCAGGTGGGTTGGCAACTGCAGTTTTTTTTTAGTCATTATTAGGGAGACGCTGGAGCCTATATCCTGGTTTGTTTCCCTCTGTCTCCTCTTACGACACCAATGGGACGTCATGCCATTACACGGTACGAAAGCATATGTAATGGACTTCCATTTGGCAGACTCAAATATGCGCATTAGTTAAGGGTAGTCATAATTTTACCGTACCATTGATCATACAATAAATTAGTATGTAATATTTACCGTTAATTTTATGATTGTGACATATTCCTCCAGGTCTGTCTCATCATCAGGTAGGCCTCCCGTGTTCCTCGTTCTTCTTGGCTTCTGTTCTTTTTTCTCCGTTGATTCCTCTACAATTTTTCGCGGACGACCTCTTTTGGGTTTGCTTTTAACAATTTCAATAATATCTGGAGGCAACATTTGACTGTCATCTGCACTCTGAAATATTTTAATAGAAGATTTTTTTAGCTATTAAAAATATAATATTAATAATATCCCTCAAACCGGATTTCAGTTACCGTAGCCAATCTCCAAAAAGTAGAGCAACCATCTGCGCAGGACAGGTTTGTAGAGTTCGTTTGTATGTCTGCATCTGCTTGTTAGCACAGGTGCACTCTCTATTCCCTCACTATTATAGTCCGATGGGACGGTAACCCGACACGACCGAAGAGAGATCAGGCGCAGGACAATAGGCTTTACGTTTTTCAGAGGCACGGGGGTGAAACACCGCTAACTTTCTGACTTAGGAATGCTACTTGGTTTTTCTTGACAGAAATAGCCAATAACAGATTTTGGGCTGGCCCAGGATTCGAACCTGGGACCTCATGATCAGCAATTGCATTTACGATCACTAGACCAATAAGCCAGTTGAATATTACTTTGAATATCAATCATAATAGTATATATTATAACGATAATTTATATTAAAAGATGTTCGAGTTTTTTGTTGCTCTCAAAAACTATCAACTGCACAATTGTTATCACTAGACATCGGATTTATAAAATCTTAAAATCTAACTTTCTAATTAAGGCGTTAATGCATATTTTAGCCCTTTTCCCCCAATCGTGCATATTTTGTTTAGTAGCGGGAGATACGTATAGGGGACCTAGGTGACGAAGGCGTGTAGGGCGTGAGTGCAGTGGCTGACTAAACTGACTGGTCGAATTTTAAATCTTGTACAATGACGTCAGTTGATGTAGAGAGGTCGTTTCCGGCGTACAAATTGATATTGGGTGACAAACGTCACAAATTTCCGCTCGTAAATTTGGAAAAACATTAATTGTATATTGTCATAAAAACTATGCATAGTTTTAAGAACAATTCGCTGTATTTGTAGTCTTTAATTAAGATATATAAAAATAAAAATGGTTCTTTTGATTTTGCATTGTACATATATTGGACATGGGCCTTTTTAGTGCATATTTGCATATATATTTTGGCAATTTGTTAGTGCATATAATCCGATGTCTAGTTATCACTTATTATAATGTCAAAATTATTTATGCCAACATGTTAGAGATATAATAGTATGTGGATCGGTACTGTTGAAGATATATAAAAATATGTTTCCAACCTCAGTGAAAATTAAATTTTCTTCAGGCTTATTTTCTAAATCAGGCCCTTCATGTTCCTCTTTCTTTATTGATTTCCTTCGCTTCTTTTTCACCAATGTCTTTTTAAGCTGCTTCTCTTTATTAGTTTTATGAAGAGATAGTGGTTCATTATCATCACTTGATAATGTTGCAGGAATTTCATCAAAACAATCTTCTTCTTTTATATTTCCAGCTTCCACATCACACTCTTGAATACTATCTTCTAGTTCAAAGGGTTCTTCTAGTCCATCATCAAAATCCTGAATACTTTCTTCTGGATCAAATAACTCCTCTTTGATAATATCGACTTTAGTTTCATTTTGATAAGGCATATAAACGTCTTGACCCTCTTCTATATTTACTACAGAGAGATTTGATGTCAGAAATAAACGTTGTCTGTCTATCTGTTTTATATCTTCTGATGTTATCTGTTAAATAAGATAAACTAAATTTAAATAAATAACTATTTACTAAATAATATCTACTAAAGGATGTGACGCATAAAATAAGAAACACTGAATACTAGCGTAAAAGCATGTTTTGTATAGTAGAGAACCAGATACATTTTTACTGGAAATGTGACATTCTTCCATCTTTGTCCTCAAGGGACAACGCATCAGCATTTTGATTCCTTAATAGAGGATAGATCTATGAACAAGTCTTTTACTGTGCAGGCCATTCATTTATGGAATGAACTCCCACTGTCAGTAAAACGCGCACCATCCCTATCGGTATTTAAAAAACTAGTTAAAAATCATTACCTCGCACTTTAAATTCTAACTTCACTACCACACTAGCCATTAAATAAACATACATAAACATAAACACTCACGCCTGTCACCCAGAGGGGTAGGCAGAGATTATGGACTTCCATTTGGCACGATCCTGACACACCTCTCTCGCTTCCTCCACATCCATATGCCTATGCATACACGCTCGTCGGTTAAAGTAGCCATTAAATATAATATTATATGTAGTATATCAATTTCATTTAATTAATTAAATAGTTCAATATATATGTATTTTATTATTTGTATGTATACATGTTTGTAGTATGTGTATGTGTATATATTATATATGCGTTTATTCTTTTTTAGTTCTTTTTTCTCTGTCACACCAATTTGCCCTGCCCTTGTCATATTCGTGCAATCCTGTCCATTCATTCGTTGTCTGGAAGAAATTGCTATCAGCAATAAGACCGTCCATTGCACACTTTATATATATATATATATATATATATATAATTTATGTATGGTGTGCAATAAAGAATATTAAATAAATAAATAAATAGATCTAGACATCTATGGCCACAGGATCCACTTACCATTAGGTGGACTGTATGCTTGTTTGTAGATTATATAGAATGCAGCATCATCATTTCACTTACATCAGACATAAAATATCCGTAGTATCAAATATTTCTTGTATTGATGCTTATCTAAGAGTCTAATCTATTGTTTGTCTAAAAGTTTATGAGATAAAGATGTCCAATAAGGTAAGGTAATCAGCCCATGAAGCAGTCAATGCTGCTTTTGTTAGTGCGGAATTTGTATATACTATATACACAATAAAGCCTGATTAGTCCTTTTGTGTGAGACATAGCACTGCAACATATGCTAGACAGTTTCATCCTATCAATCCGGACTACAAGATCTTTCGAACATATACCTTAGTTGCCTCTTACTTACATGGAATAAGATGGGGTGAATTCTCTTACGTCGCCACACAAGTATAAGTATACACAATGAAGTTTAATTGTTATAAGTTACCTGTCCCGATGAATGCAGTATACCACATAGAGCAGCTTGTCCCCTCAGACATTTCTCACGGAAGAAAAAGAACTTCTTGACTAATGCGGCACACTCGTAACAGGCAAATTGCGGCAGGTCTGCTAACTTTAGTGGCTGCAAATATTATAAACAATTTTATTTTATTTTGTAAGTCTTTACAAATATTTATATATGTTCATGCTGGCCATGTAGACATCGTTTTGTCCATTCTGGTAAGTGGCACAATATTTCACTCCAAATTCACTCTGGGCTTGTTACAGTTCAGTTTCAGAATGTAGGTGACATTGAGTAATTTCTTTGAGAGCTGTAAAGCATCAGCAAAGCGATACTGACGGAAAGTGTCTGGGAGTATTGATGACTTATTTTGAACAATATTATATAACATATACGTAAAAATGGAGGAAGTCGATGGATGCAGGTGGCTCAGGACCGTGCTTTGTGGCATTCCTTGGGGGAGGCTTATGTTTAGCAGTGGACTTACGAAAGGCTGTAATGATGATAATGATGATACGTAAAAATCAGCTAGTAGAATTAACATGAGGTGAGTAATGTTTTTACATACCTTGATTACCTGATACCTGAAAAATGGCCGTGTGGCCAAACTAGCAGATAGGTATGCGATCATAGTATATACTAACACTACTAAATCTTATATATTGCATCATCATCATCATCATTACAGCCTTTCATAAGTCCACTGCTGAACATAGGCCTCCCCCAAGGAATGCCACAAAGCACGGTCCTGAGCCACCTGCATCCATCGACTTCCTGCATGTCTTACCAGGTCGTCACTCCATCTCGTGGGGGGTCGCCCTACACTTCGTCTACCGGTACGAGGCTGCCACTCGAGAACCTTTTATTCCCCATCGGTTGTCGGTTCTTTGAGCTATATGGCCGGCCCATTGCCACTTCAGCTTACTAATCCGTTGGACTATGTCAGTCACTCTGGTTCTACTGCGGATATCCTCATTTCTAAGTTCAATGAGGACAAGAAACTCCGAGCATAGCCCTCTCCATAGTTCGCTGAGCGACCTTGAGCTTCCTCATCCGGCCAGTGAAGGACCATGTCTCAGTCCCATAGGTCATCACTGGCAACACGCACTGATTGTACAGTCTCGTTTTCAAGTTTTTGAGGTAACCTGACGAGAACATGTGCCGTAATTTCCTGAACACTGCCCAACCGAGTTGAATCCGTCGATTGACCTCTTGGTCGAAGTTGGACTTACCTAGTCGGAATATTTGTCCCAGGTAAACATACTCGTCAACAACTTCGAGCTTAGTGCTCCCAACAACTACCGGCATAGGTGTGACATGGACATTAAACATGATCGTTGTTTTGTCCATGTTCATCTTAAGACTATCCGTTGGGAAACACTATTGAGGTCATTGAGCATAGTGCTTAGGTCCTCCAGTGATTCTGCCATAAGGACTATATCGTCGGCAAATCAAAGGTGAGTGATGTACTCGCCATTGATGTTGATACCGTATCCTTTCCAGCCCAGAAGCTTGAAAACGTCTTCCAAAGCAGCGCAGCGGTGAAGAGTTTCGGGGATATGACGTCACCCTGTTTTACACCTCTCTGCAATTGGATAGGTTTCGTACTCTGGTTCTGTGTTCCGGCGGCCCCGCTATTCCTGGCTACGGTGGCGACCATGGTAACGGCGGGGCAGGGGTTGCTAAGAATCTCCGGTGGAGGTTCGGTTGCCACCTACGACGACTCGACCTGGCAACTTATAACGCACGCACCCTGAGGACTGACGAGAAGATCCTGGAGCTGGAAGAAGAGATAGACAAGTTGCGCTGGAATATCATAGGATTATCCGAGGTCCGAAGAGAGGGGGAGGACACTGTAATCCTCAAATCCGGCAACTTGCTCTATCGCCGGGAGGGCGACCATCTGTCCCAAGGAGGTGTCGGATTTATCGTCCACAAGTCTCTCGGTAACAACGTTGTAACGATTGAGAGTGTGTCGACGAGGGTTGCGTACCTTATACTCAGAATCACCAAACGGTATTCGCTGAAGGTCATACAGGTTTACGCACCAACCTCGCCACACCCAGATGAGGAGGTGGAGGAAATGTATGAGGATATCTCTAGAGCCATGCATTCCTCCAAAACCCACTATACGGTGTTAATGGGAGACTTCAACGCAAAACTAGGCACAAGAGAGAACTGTGAGCTGAAAGTAGTGAAATTCGGAATAGGGCAACGGAGCCCAAAGGGCCAGCAGCTGGCCGACTTCATGGAGAAAGAGGGACTCTTTATGATGAACCCTTTCTTCCACAAGCAGCCCCACAGGAAGTGGACCTGGTCGAGCCCCGAGGGTTCGACAAAAAATGAGATTGACTTCATTATGACGACCAGACGATAACTGTTCAGTGATGTCTCAGTGATCGCGAGGGTGAAAACCGGCAGCGATCACCGAATGGTGAGTGACACACTGAACCTAAACGTTAAGTTGGAGAGGTCACGTCTAATGAAGTCAACGCTCCGTCCCCCTCGTGCTCTAATCCAAAGTCCCGAAACCTTTCAGCTCGAGCTAGTCTAGAAGATTGCAATGCAGTGGACGATATGAATGACAAGCTCGTGGAATCTGTCCATGCGGTCGGAGCTAAGTTTTGCAAGAACCGCCGCAGAAGAACAATAAACTCTCCGATCACACTCTTAATCTCAAGACTGTTAGACGGGATATGATGCTGCAGTCTTCAGTAGATTTGACAGCATACAGGCAACTGAACAGAAAGATCTCCAAATGCATGCGGCGGGACTTACACAACTTCAATACAGCTCGTATTGAAGAAGCGATCGAGCAGAACCAAGGCTCCAAAGTCTTTGCCAGAGATCTGTCTGCCAGAAAGAGCCAACTGTCAAAGCTGAAGACCGAATGTGGCAGCATCGTTTCCGGTGCACCTGAGATTTTGAGTGAGATTGAGAGGTTCTATGGGCAACTGTACACGTCATCGTTGGAGCCACACGCAAATGTGTGAGTAACGATCCAAGAGCGAGTCTTATCCGACATTATTCCGATGATATCCCGGGCGCCAGTCTGAGCGAGATTAGAATGGCTCTCCAGCACCCAGCAAGGCCCCAGGCGAGGATGGAATTACAGAGGAGCTTCTGAAAGCGGGTGAAAAACCGGTACTTGAAGTCCTTCAGAAGCTCTTTAATTCCGTCCTCCATGGTGGCATTACACCGGAGGCTTAGAGCAGAAGTGTGGTGGTTCTTGTTCTTCAACAAAGGCGACAACGCTCTCTTGAAGAACTACAGACCGATTTCCCTTCTGAACCGCGTCTACGTGCTGTCTTCGAGAGTCATTACGAATCGTCTTACGTGCAGACTTGACGACTTCCAGCCTCCCGAACAAGCCGGTTTCCGAAAAGGCTTTAGCACCATAGACCACATACATACCCTTCGGCAAATTGTACAGAAGTCAAGGAGTACAATTGGCCACTATGTCTGGCATATGTGGACTATGAGAAAGCCTTTGATTCCGTCCAAATTTGGGCGGTGCTGCAGTTCCTTCAGCGGTGCCAAGTTGACTGACGGTATATCGAAGTGGTTCCGGTTCCGGTGATCGGACAGTCAGTACGTACGTCAAGTTACCATCACTACTTTATTTTCTTTTAAAGCAAAAAGAAAAAGGTGCCTAAGTTCATTGAGGGTGGACTATAGCAATGGCATAATAAAAAACAATTTAATTATATCTCAAAAAAAACTCTATCTATGGAGGTGTATGTTCAGCAGTGGACTATGATGGGCTGTAGTAATATTACAAAATATTCGCTACACAAATTTTACATATTATATGAGTATTCAAGTCACTCAGCAAGCAATACATCCATTGCAAGCAAACTTCACTGTCACTCAGCAAGCAATGGATGTACTCAAGATTAATAAGGGGAAGGCGGGGTCTTAGTTCACTCGCTTCACTCGCTCACCAGACCAGCTATTCCCTTCAAACCTAACCTGTACGAGTCTAGGTACCCACAAGTTCCAAGCTCCCTTTATAATATATAATAACATTTTTTTAAAACTTTAGGATTTTTTCTGGAAAACTATAAGGCTGTTCAATGTGATTTTTGTTTTAAATCCTTCTACATGAAGAGATCTATACGAAAAAAATACGACCGGTTCTAAAATGGCTGAAATCTTTGTAAAGTGGTGCCAAAATGCATGCTTAAAGGAAGGCCTATGTCCAGAAATGGATACTTAAAGGAAGGCCTATGTCCAGAAATGGACTGCCCTAGGCTGATAACAGTACACTCTTTCCATTGATTCTAATGGTCAATATATATTTAAGTAAAATTAGTAAAGTTATATTTATATACTTTCGGCATTAAATACACTCTCAAAATCTTACAAAATAATTACTGACAACAGTCAGAATTTTTGTCATTTTTCTTTTTTATTACATCAATTCTTTACTTCATACAAAACTATAGCGTTAATTTGTTTTGAATCTAACTTACGTTTACTCCTATAATTAGTTCATAGTAAGTTCCTAGAGGATAAGATTGCAGGTCGAACATTTTAACATCCATAACGAGGCATATTCTACACACTTTTATGTCTTCCATTTTAATTTGAAGATTTTAAAATCAAAATTTTTAAATTCACCTACTGGCGGCATGCGATAGAGTTAGAAAATGTTAGAATTTCTTCTACTCAATATATTGGTTGTATACACTGTTTACTTCACTTAAAGGCAGTTATTTGTCCATGTAACAGTGATAAACTAAACTGTTTAGTTGATATTTTTCATTACTTTTGCAAATTCAATGAATTTTGTAGGAAATTATTAAATTAAAAATACTAAGTATGTCTATTATTACGAAAGACGCTAAATGGACACCATAGTTATTGAAAGTTGACAGATGACCATTGACCACAGATCCACAGAACAACATACAACACAGATGACAGTTGACTTTTGTTTTGTTGTTGTTGTTGTTGTTTTTATTATTCGCTCGTGAGAGCCGGCAAAGGAACTAAGCCATACAGCCTTGTCTTTTTTATTTTGAATATATAGAATTTTAAAGTGTAAAGGCCGGAACCAAGTATTATTTTTCTTCTTTCCAGCTCTTTAAAATCCATAAAGGCCAAGTCTTATTTTCTTTAATTCTTCATATTTTCAAAAACCGTAAAGGCTAAAGCCAAGTCTTCTTTATATTATAATCTTTGTAAGTTTCAATACATGTAGATTTGTCAATCCAATATTTTTAAAAACAGGGATACCATATTTCATATTTCTTTTACAGTATTTTGAATAAAATTGAAAAGTGCTAAATATGTCTTAGTATTCCTAAGAACATCTTGCAAGGCACGCGGGACGCTTTCTGAGTTTTCATAAAGTTGTATAAGTTTTTCAATGAGTAACAATCTAGTCATTGAAAAACTTATATACAATAGTCTATGGCGTACGCTGGACAGTTAAATATTATATGTTCTGCAGTCTGATCTGCTTCTGTATCGCAGAAGTTGCATGTTGCAGATGCTACTATTCTCATCCTGAAAAGATGAGCGTTCAGTCGATAGTGGCCAAATCTAAGTTTGCACATTATTGTATAAAATTTTCTGCTATGGTATCTCTCGTTGCAAGAAAACCAAGGAATACTTAATTCTAAATTAATTGATGCATACCAACGACCTTTTCCTGCCTCTAAAACAGCATTCCATTGCATTTTACATTCTTATTTTAACTGTTGATTTAAAATTGAATATGAATCTGTATGTGGTATTGCAACACCGGTTATCCTGTCAATATCAGCTGTAACTATACTTTTAGCTAAATGGGTCTGCGCTTTCATTTCATTTATGGAGTGTAGAGTAGAAGGAGAACCATCTTATAAGGTGTGAAAGATGAAAAAGTGTCCCAATATATACTGAAAATAGAGGTTCCAAAACCTATCACAATAGCGCTGGCGTCTGAAAAACTACGATATGAATAAAGCTGTTGTAGACGGAGTGAAGTCAGCTGAATTAAAATATTTAAAAAATTTCATGATTAGAGTAGTTAGTAAAATGCCAGTATACAAAACCTCAACTATTTACGTAGTACAAAACCAAGCGGATTGGTCGGTCCTTGTTTATTTCTCCATCTTATTCTAATGAATTTTGGCGCTTTTTTTAAAATTTATCCTATGCAACTGCAGCGCCACCCTTATTGGACGCGTTTTTAGGGACACTTTTCATATACAGATATGGTCCTCCTTCTACTCTACACTCCATAATTTCATTGAACACCAATATGTGACGGAGTCCATAAAAATTTTACTTCTAAATTATTTTCTTTCAATTTCCACCACAAACTTTTGATTTCATATATGATGAAAGACTTTCTTGCCTTCAAGACCCTCATGCTATCAGAGATAAGTAACCATTTATTAGATACATGTGGATGTTCTTCTATATATTTAAGAGCGATTAAGACAGCATAACATTCTGCAATGTATATGCTTGCTGATGCAGGAATGGAAAGACCACGTCCAGTTTTCAGATGAGGTATGTAAAATGCACAGGCTACTTTATTTTCAACTTTTGAACCATCTGTGTAAATTTGTCGATATTCATCATAATATGTAGATATAAGTTTATAAACCTCTTCTTTTCTTTTCAATTTTTCATCAATATATATGTGTATATCATTGAATTTACTTTCATAATTCCCCTTATAACAAGGCCAAGAATGTTTGCTTTCGTGATTATATTGTTTATCATATCCACAAACTAGTAAGAAGTGCTAGCGCATATCGTATCTTCTTTCTTAATAACTGGCTTTACGGCTCTGGGTTCTAGCCCTTCTGAGCCTGAAGTTAAAACGTATAACTATCCTTCATAGTACACTGCTCCACAATATGTTGATGCGTCACATTGTGCAGCCCTTGGGAGATTTTGACGGCAACTTAAGCCAGCAGACAGCTGACAATTGGCGATGGTATCTCAAGGCGCCTATGCAGACAGACACCTTATTTTGAGAATCACATCACCATCAGAATACTTGTTTCACCGTTTCCACTAATAGTTCACATGCGTAGACATTTAATACACAAAATCGCACCACTTTTACATATCAAAATCCACTTCAAACCATTATTTAAACAATAATACAGGAGCAGCGATCCGTCGCCCAAGTTCCCGCCAAAACTCCCATATCGTATCACTTCATGAAAGTCATGGAGTATATATGGGGCTGAGTTAGATATAGGAGACATACTATTATAGTAAAATAATACTTTTTGAAAAAGAGGATGATGAGACAAAGAATTAATATTGAATAAAACTCTAAATTTCAGATATTTAAACCTAAGTAAATAGGAAGAGTAAGACATTCAGCCTGTAAAGAAACAATAGGTGTTGTTCTCATAGAGCCGTTAATAAGTCTTAAATTCTTATTTTGTATAATATCTAATTTATTTACTAGTTTTTTATTTGATGTAAAACAAAGTAAGCCATACTCAAAATGGCTCCACACCAAAGACTTATATAACATTAATAATATTTCTGGATCAGCTCCCCAGTTAGTACTAGCCAAAGCTTTTAATACATTAAAGGCCTTAGAAACTCTGTCTGAAATAGAATTCACGTATTTGGTCCAAGATAAATTATTTGTAAAAATTACACCTAAGAATTTTGCACAACTTTCCATTGGTAAAAATGTTTTATTATAAATTATTCTAATGTTAAATGGACGAATTTTATTAAATATTACAACTTTACTTTTTTCAGTACTAATATCTAAATTTAAGTGTGAAAAGTAAATGTGCAATTTCTTTAAAGCCTCATTTAAAATGATTACCAAGATTTTGACATTTGTTCTATAACATGTTATATATTTTCAAAACTAGTTCTCTACACGCAGTATTCATATTTTTTAAAGCTTTATATGGAACAGCATCTAAACCACAAGTAGTGTCCTTTCTAGAGTTAACAGCTGAATTAAATTCGGTCAAGGTAAAAGGTTTGGTAAGATAATCACAATGATATTATCATTTGAGAAGTGAGGAGTTAGAGGTGATGCATCTGTTTCTGGAGTATTTTTTTTTAGTAGCCTAATTAGAATCTATGACTGATATGTTATTATGAACAAAAGTTTTGTTAAACTTTTTAATGTAATTCCATACTCTAGTCAATGGAGTAGATCTATTAAAAGTTTCACATAGTATCAGCTAAGCTGTCTTTCAGTCTTCAAAGTAATTTTTATTAGCTTGTAGTCTTTTAAAATTAATATAATTTCGTTCTGTGGGATCATTCTTAAATACTAAATATGCATTTTTACAATTTAATACTGCCTGTTTGCATTTTAAATTCCACCAAGGTAGAGAATTTTTTTTTTAATTTCTTTTAAGAGATTGCAAGTTGATGTTAACATTTCGATTAGAAGACTGATTGATGGTGTGGATTCGTGCATGGCTTGTTTAACTAGTTCTATTAAATCTGTATAACATTGTAAAGGATTACTATAATCAAAACTATATAATTTTTAATTAAATTATCTATAAAATTTGGATATTTTGACCAATCTACCAATTTTAAGTTTATGTTATTTGATACAGCTGTTTCTTGAAAATTTTGATTATTGACCGTCATTTTTGTCTTTACAGGAAAACAAATGATAGGTGCCTAGAGAATCATCATCACATACTTGCCACACACAAGACAGAGCCAGTGAAGATGAAACAAGTGTCAAGTCTAATGCATTCTGCCTCCATCTATGAGATCCTACTGTAGTCATCTGACCATCATTCAAGATTACAAGATTGTTGTCATCTATACTTGCAAGAACATCCCTACCTCGTGAATTCAATTCTGTACATCCCCATAACATGTGATGGGCGTTGAAATCACCAGCTATAAAGACTGGCTGTGGCAAACTTTGCATTAAATTATCTAATTTGGATTTATTATAATTAATTGGTGAATTAGGGGGACAGTAAACACTAACTAAAGTTAATAATTTATCATTATATTATTGTATTTGTACAGTTATATTTTGTAATGAGTCATCAGAGAATGTATTGATAACACGAAATCCACTTTTGTTATGTAAAAGTATTGCTAGTCCATTATGATCATTACCTGAATCTAATCGTATAATATTATAACCTTTTACTCCAAAATTGTTCCTAGGTTTAAGCCAAGTTTCACATATGAGAGCAACATCTATAGTGTTCTCATATAAAAATTGTGTAAATTGAAAGCGATTTTTAATTAAACTCTGTGCATTCCATTGTAAAATGTTAAACTGATCTATAAAATATTAAATGTTAAATAATGAAATATCTATTTTGGTTTCATTGTATCTATGAGAACATCTTTAATAAGCTGAGAAGATATGGTGGTTTGTTCATTTGTTTTACTAAGAGTTAATACTTTAATGACTGTATTTAAAATTATATTAATAATGTCATCATTCTTTAGCAGTGACATAAAAGCAGCTTCAGGATTTTTTTTGTTTATATGGGGGAATTCGTTTATATTAAAGAGGTCTACAAACGGGGTTTTGTGTAATTTAGCCTGATATTCTTTTATCTTTTGTTTCTTAACAGGACACTGTCCAGAAATGCTTAGATGGTTTCCT